CTGGCTTCTGTGGTTCATGGTGTCACTGCTCTTCAAGGCCACAGAGGCCCTTGTGGGAGCATGATGTGTTGTGACCAACCTGATTGGTGGCTTCCCATGAATCCCTCTTTGAGATGGAGATCAGGACAGAGGGGTCTGCAGTCTGCATTGACCATGTTGCTGGGCTCCGTAGCAGGCTTTGTAGTGGGGTTAGATCTGCAAATCTCAGTCACCCCAGTGCCACACAGCAGCACACTCCCGATGTTCCCTGGGAAGGACGGGCAAGGGGACAGGAAAATGAAGAAAAGAAAGGAAATCTGGGGTCAGGTGGAGCCCCCTCTCCTGTGGGAGAAAAGCAGCTGCTTACCCACCTCAGCCACAGCAGCGCCTTTATTTACACACAGGCCAGGAGGATGTCAGTTTCAGCTCTCTGCCTGGCAACTGGTTTGCCTGGCTGGCCTGGGCCCCTGGCCTTCCCTGAGCTGGAACAGCTTCTTTAGGTGGTTCATTTTGAGCTCTCCATGTTCTCAGGGCTGGCCCTGCTTTATCCCCATACATGATCACTCCCTGAACCCCGGAAGTACTTGTCAGCCCCACATCAATGACACCCTCATAGTTGGCCTGAGAAACCAGTTGGCCAGGCCCTAGACAAGGCTATCAACCCTGATAAGCTCTGGGACCTACCCATCGGGACAGCACCTAGGAGCCACCCAGACACAACTGTAGGGTACGGGCAATCAAACTCAGGATCTAGTGCTTGTCAGGCAGGCGCTTTCACTGCTGAGCTATATCCCCGGCTCTGTGGGCATATTCTCAATGAAAGTCAAGTAAAAACTGCTGCTCCTGGCAGTCCTCACCAACAAGAATGAACAGCTGGCTACTAACGACCAGATGTCCACCACCTGGGCATTTGGGGACTACTTTAGCCAAGCTTACCTGCAAGTGACCACTTTGAAAGGGGTCCCAGTCACACCAGTCTCCAGACCAGGACCTGCTTGCCAGTGCCGTCCTCCTGACCTATGAAAATCAGGTTTCCGGGAACTGCAACCTGTGGCAACAGAAAACCACTCCGGGGATACAACAGCCCTTGGGGCTCTGAATACCCAAATCACCAACAGGACTGCCAGATTCCAAAGCCACCGGCAAGCACCTCCTAGCCTCTCCCTGGGCACAGAGGGAACAAGCAGCTGATCACTGCCTCGCCACAAGTGGGCTTGAGACCTGAGCTGCCGACCTCACACAGGTCCTCACTGGTCCTAGTAAAGCAGGACACGTGTAGCGCAGGCCCCCGCCTGAATGGAAATGTACCTACAACCCATTCTCACGGGCCCTAGTGGTCAGTGCGGTGGCTGCTTTGCCGTGGAAGGCTGAACATGATCCTGGGTCTCCGGTACCCCAGTGAGGCCCACAGCCTAAATACATTCTAGTGACAGCGTGGTTTGTTTTATGGAGGAATCTGTGATGTACAAAGCTGATGGGGCCTGGGTGCTGTGCCCAGGGGCCAAGCTGGACAGACACTGGTGGTTGTGCAGGCCACACCAACAGCAGCTCTTGTTACACTAAGACTCGTGGACTGTCACAAACGAATGTACCGTGTGGTACCGTGGCCGACAGATGAACAGCTGGACGCTCAGGTCTCTGTGGTGGGGACAGAGCAGCTTGCAGACCAGAAAGAAGACTGAGTCATCATTTATGATGACTGCATGGCAAAAAAAAAAAAAAAATGAAACACTTGAATGGGAATTTGAACGGAACCACACATACTCAGCAATCCACAAGGCTGACCATGGAACAGGACTAGGAAGGCCACTTCAGAACACATCACAAGGTCACAGCCTGCAAGAGCCAGAAGGGCAGCACAGTCCCAAGAACACTGCCACCAGCCCACCCTACCACGTGGCTAGCTGAGCCACCCCACAACAAGCCAGTGGGCAAACCCATCAGCCCCACAAGTCTCCCCCCAGATGCAGATACCCAGTGTGGACACGCTCTGCAAATGGCACCAACAGCCAGTGCACTGTGTGGACTCGGGACCTGCTCGGGCTTTGGAGAAACACTTCTGCACTTCTGTGAGTGTCCAGCAGAGTTCCAGCAGTGGGCCACCACACAGGCTGCACAACCTGCCCAGCAGGAGTGGCACAAGAGAACCTGGTCTGCACTGGAACACAGCTACAGGATGGAAGGCACAAGCTGTCACTAGGCTGGGAACACAGAACTGGAGCAGGAAGTGGCCTAGCTGGGCTGTGTTTGCTGGTCCCAGTCTGAAGTTAACTGAGGTTCTTTTCTTTCTTCTCACTTGAACCCAGGCCCAGAACAGCTGTGTCTGACCAGAACAGTGCTGTCGATAAACTTCCCAGTTCAGAGTGGGAGGTTGGCAGCTCCGAGCACCTCCTTCTCGTGGGGTCTCCTGGGAACACCACATTAGCAGCCCGTGCCCACCTGGGACTCCTACCTTTGGTACGGCCAGGCAGTGTGATAGCCTATGATAGCAGGCTGGACATGCCGGCTCAAGGTGTGACTTCCTGTCCCAAGTGGGGCCACCAGTGGTCAGGGCACAACAGCGACAGGTGGAGCAATGGCAGTACAGCCTCGGGGCATAGCCAGCAGCATGGGCAGCTGCACCTGGGACACTTCAGCCCAGGCGGCTGGCAGGGCCTGGCCAGCCTCTGAGCTCCATGGAGCAGAGGTGGGGCCCCATTTGTCTCTCTTTTCTTTTCTTTTCTCTGGGACCCTCGCCCACACCTAGGATTGAAGTGAACTCTGTCACCCAGACTGATGTCCCCTGGGACCCACACCCTCATTTCAATGGCCTGGCCAGAACACAACAATGTGGAGCCTCCTCAAGCAGCTCAAGACCATGAGACCCACTGGATCCAACCAGCTGATGCTGGATGGCTGAATGGCTGAGGGCCTGAGTGTTTACGCCATTCCCACACCTGCATCTGGGAGCCCTAACAACAGCAGCAATGGGAATGTGGGTGGGATGTGGCCGCTGTTCACCTGCAGGACCCCAGCCTTACTGGCCACATTCACAGGTGTGGGCCATGCCCTCGGCTTCCTGGCCATCCTGGGCCTGGTTCTCCTAAGGACCCTGTAAAGAGATTCACCCTTCCCTGAAGAAGACCAAGGCAGCCATGCCACAAGCTGTCTGGCCCTGCTTGACTGGACACCCACTGCCACATTCTCGGGAAGCATAGGTCCTGATAGGCTTGGTCAACTCCTTGCACAGGATGCTGGGGACTCTTTCTCCTGCAGGTCCCAGAAGAGTGGCCAGGCTGCAATGTCTGCTGCCCATCAGCAGGTCACAGGTCCTTGCTCTGGGTCTCTTCCTGTCCTGAGGCTGGTGTGTCCTCTCTGTTCTGCTTAACCATGTGTTTCAGAGCCTGAGGGTAAGATGAGGAGACCTGCAATGCCACAGGAACAGGGTCACATGCAGCCCACATCCTGCCTCAGTTGTCCATGAGAGACCCACACCAGGCTCCAGAGCAGAGGATGCCATCTCTTCTCAGGAACACGAGGCATCTCCACTGGGTTCTGGGAGCGCTATCTGCAGGGGATGGCAACTCCTGGCAGTGGGTGCAGAGGTCACCTGCTCCATTCTCCTAGTGTGAAAGTAGCTAAAAGCAAGGGCCCCTGTTCAGGGAACTGCTCTGGCCAGATGGCCACACACGCAAGCCATGTGGGTGCGCTGGGGAGGTGGCAAGGAGCAGCTAGGGAGGAAAGGGCCAGAGAGAAAAAGGAGCATGGCCCAGGGGTTGGGGAAAGGGCAGGCAAAACTCCAGGCAGGAGCAGCAGGGCACATCTGGAACCCCTAAGAGGCTGTTTCACCCTCAGGGCACAGTGGAGACCCCAGAGGGCAGCACCCAGCGCCACTCAGAACACCTGAAGAGCCAGCTATGCACCCAAGGAGGCCCGGAAGGGGCTTTAGGGCCGGTGGCATCACCCTCAGTGTTCCGTGGGAACAGTGCAGCCAGCACCCAGGTGGTACCACCAAAGAGATCCCTCCATCCTGCCCAGGTGGAGTGCACACGCCCATGCCCACACCTGTCCACACCCACAACCTTGCACACCTGTGCACTCATGGTCTGGGCTCATGGAGCTCCTCTTAGGGCCCTCCTTTGAGTCCCAGTGGCTTGGCCATCTCCAAAGGCAGGGACACCACTGGGTCCCTGGGTACAGGACCTATGGGCCACTGCTCTTCCCTCCAGGTATGTCTGGGAGCCACAGGCAGGGCCCATCCCACAGAACCCACTTGGGCTTCTGGCCAGGGTCACTCGTCGTGGCTGCTGCTGGGCAGGAGAGGGCCTTAACTGGTACCCCAGCACTGAGGGAGGCTGAGGCAGGAGCACTACAAGCTAGAGTCCTGCCAGTGTAACTGAGGACATGGGGACATGGCTCAGTAGCAGAGCAGCCCTGAGTTCCCCCCCATGACCAGAAAGGGAGAGGAGAGAAGGAGAAATAGGAGGGACAGAGAGGGAGAGGAGAAAGAGAGAAAGAAGTAGAAGGGAGAGACACCACTCCCAGATCCTCAGAGCCTGGAACCCCAGGCCTTGACTCCCTCGTGGGAAACACAGCTCACCCAGCAAGCCTAGGGTCAGCCAAGGCAGGAAGGTCTCTATATAGTACAGTCCTCACCAGGAAACAGGACAAGAGGCCTGCTATGGCACCGAAAATGAAGGAGGGACCCCAATGTGCTCCTCGGAGAGGCAAGGTACAGTCTTCGGCCTTGGGTTTTTCACCTGGGCTTGGGGCGATCTCCGCCCTACGATGGATGGGGACGGAAGTCTCCCAGTTGTGGGAACCCAGGTCATGGACCCTGAGGCTAGGGAGAGGTGTCATGACTTCGCCCCACGCCCCAAGTTCCACCCAGGGCCTGACCACACCCTCATCCACCTCCCGAGGAACATGCTCCTGACGCTTACCCACCTCCGCCTCGCCACGCCCCTTCGCCTCGCCACGCCCACTTCTCGCCCCGCTTCTGCCGCCCTCCCCGCCTTTTCTTCTCGCCACGCCCCCAACTCGCCCCGCCTCCTCCTCGCCCCGCCCGGTGCTCCAGGCCTGCGACACCTTCCGCGAGCCGGCTGCGCGCAGGTGAGATCGGCACCGCGCCGCGCTGAGGGTTAAGGACTGGGATCCCGGAGAGGTAGGGAGCCGGGGAGCTGGGCCGGGAGCGGCGGCGCGCAAGCCCTGAGCCTCGGGAGCGGGGCGGCAGGAGGCGGCCCCGTCTTCCCGGGCTCCGGGTGCGTGGTCTCGTTCCGGGGGCCAGAGGTGCGCCCTCGGGTCCGCGTGGTGGAGGCGGGATGGGGGCCGAGGGATCAGCGCCCGGAGCTCGGGGCTCCCGAGGCTGACCGCGGCGCTCCTGGTTGCAGGTGCTAATCCAGAGCGCGCCGCGTCGCTATCTCTGTCGCCGTCGCCTCGCCCGCTGCCGGGATGCTCGCCGCGGGGACCCGCCGGCCGCACGCGCACGCAGGTCGGTGTCGCGGAGGCCGTCCTGACTCGGCCGTCCGCTCGGTTCTCGCCGCCTGCAGAGGCAGCCATACTCCCCATCGTAGCCACGCGCGACCCCGGCAGCCGGGTTCTCTGGGTCTTGCGAGCCGCACGTCTGCACCGTGTGTGGTCGGTCAGGACCCTGCGGCCCGCCGCGGGCACAGTGCCCAGCACGCCAGATAGAGACCCTGCAGGCCCTGGCTCCGGGACCTCTCCTCAATAAACGCTGCTTAGGGACCCCGGCTCAGGGACTCCTACTCAGTGATCCCCGCTCAGTGACCTCACCCAGGGATTCCCGCTCAGAGACCCTGGCTCAGTGGTCCCTGCGCAGTGACCCCTGTTAGGGACTCCAGCTCAGTTACCTCCGGCTCACTGACCCCCACTCAGTGACCCCCGGCTCAGTGACCTCCAGCTCAGTGACCCCCTCAGAGACCTCCACTCAAGGACCCCGGCTCAGTGACCATGGATCAGCAAGCCCTGCTCCCCGCGCCCCGGGTCGGCACTTAAGGCGGTGCTCCACAGGAGAGGCTGGATCTGCAGTGCGCCGTCCTGCGGCGAGGGCTTGCGAGTCTGCCAGGTCGGAGCCAGTCCATGAAAACTGCTGAAGCCAGGGTTTGGGCGCCGCCGCCTGCGGTCGGGACAGGCTGGTGATAACACTGTCTCCACTGAGGGGTGCAGGGTCCAAAACTGTGCTCTTCTTCTCTTCCCAGAGGAGGTGCTTGCAGGCAGTAAAGACAATCTCTACATCCTATGTGAACTGTTTTTGTAAAGGAAGATTGTGCTTGAGCTGGCTTGCTTTGATTTTGAAGTTTTTCTCCAAAACACTGTAAACCTTAACATATGCAGTGGCATCCCGCAAGCTGACGAATCAGGTTCATTCCTTCCTAAGCCGGGCTGACTTGGCAGTGACAGCTCTACCACGTGTTGTTTGGGGTGGGGGTGGGGGGTCCCCACTACTCCTCTATCACTGGCACTGATGTAGGCATTCTTGGAAAGTTAGTGGCAGAATGTTCCTCTGGATTAACTGGTTCCTCCCTGGCTCCTGTTGTCCATTTGGGGTCACAGAGCCAGCTGCACGTTGGCCAGCTCTACTCTTGGTCCTGTTACAAAGGATTCCATGACCAGGAGTCTGTGTACAAGAGGGTAGGTGGTGAGGGACGCCAGCCTTCTGGAAGTGGGGTCTTGGGTCAGGCTGTGCCCTCCCTTAGTACTGGATGCTCTGCTCCCAGTGAGGACTATGCTGGGCACTGAGAAGTGTCCATGACCACATGCCTGTCATGGAAGTCAGACGGGGCAGCAGAAACTGGCTGGCGGGCCTGAGCCCTCTCACTCTCTTCCACTCGCCCTGAGTAGTGACTGCTGTGAAGGGGGGTGGATGTGGGTCGGGTCCGTCTTATCATGGTGGCATCTGCATGTCCTCACTGTCCTCCAGGAAAACCTGGCAGTCATGAAGAAGCAGGGTCTGGGTCATGCTGATCCCGGAGGGAACATCTGGACTGTCTGTGTGATGGACAGCCATGCTGGCCAATGTAGGCACCACAGGGCACTTGTGGCTGCCGGCAGCTTGAGGTGTGACCAGAGAGGTTGAGGAACTGCGCATGTTTAAAATTCAACTTAGTTCACACTGGACGGCCAATTGTAGGAGACACTGGGATTTACTATCTTTCTGTTACTCTGGTGTTTATAGTGTTTCAGCCATTTGGATACCATTTATATTTATGCCTTAATAGTTCTACCTAGGCTGCTATTTATCAATATTTTAATTGAGTGCTTTTTTTTATCTTTTAGAAATTTAGATATAAAGTTAGGTCTATCTATAGACGTATGATGTAGATAGACCTTAAGTCTTAACCCTAAACTGGGTGTTCTTGCCCTCTGAAAGTATGTATAAGAATAGTGGAGGAATTTATAAGCATTTTTTAAAGGAAACTGTACCTGAGAAGCCGATTTGCTTTGATTTTCAAATTTTCTCCAAAGGATTTGAGAGGCTTGAGGAAATCTGACAAATCACGCCCCTGTGTACCCCTCGATCCTATTAAATGACAGTATTTCCATCACGTGGGTGCCCCCAAGAGTGCCCTTGTACCCTTCCCCAGGAGTCTCCACCCCAAGTCATCTGTCGCCGTCCTGACCTCTACCACCTGCTTGCTTTGGAGCATGACAGAAAAGTCATTGCCATTTACTAATTTTCTCACAGCATTAATTTCTTTTACATAAGATTATTTTGAAATAAATCATCGGCTTTAACAGTAAACTTGAAATAGAAATCTGCATTTTGAATGCTTCTGTAGACCCCCCAGGGAGGAGCAGTCATTTGCATAAAAGGATTTGAGAACTTCCGGAAAACCAGACCACAGATGCCCTCCCTGCCAATGCTGTCTGAGCCTGCGGTTTGAGGGCAGGAAAAATGGGCCACTACCACATCTTAGACTTGTGGGTCCCACAGAAGCCAGGCAGGTGACTTGTGTGCGTGACTGTGGGTCCTACCAGGAGTCCAGCGCCCCATTCCTGTTCTTCCCTCATGTGTCTTCCTGCTTCTCCCATACAGGCCTCCAGACCCTCTCCCGAACCCCAGCCATCGTGGTCAGCTTGGCAGTCCTGCTGCTGAGCGTCATGGTGCTCACCACGCTCACTCTCGTCCAGACCCGCCACTCCCAGGTCATCCCTCCAGGGCTGAAGGTAAGGGGAGCGCACTGGCAGTGAAAGACAGGATGGGCGCAGCCTGACTGCTCCTACCGTGACCTGCAAGAGGACATCCTCACCCTGCCTCCTTCTAGAGCAGGAGAAAGTGGCGTAAGAAGCAAGGAGCAGGCCCACACTGCTGGGTGGTGACACTGGGGCCACTGGTTGGGGGTGAGGCTCCCCCGAGGACCGCATGGTGTTGCTTTGTCTTCTGGCTGTGACTGAAGAAGACACAGCTGATAGCCAAACACTGCATGTGGCCTCCAAGGTTTGCTAGTTGGTGAGTGCAGTGCCTGTCTCTTCCTGCGCGCCCTTGGCCATGTGCGAAGACCAGGAGAATCAGCACCTCTCCCAACTTAGCCTGGACAGACAGAAGTGAGGTCCTGGGAAGGTCTCCTTGGGCTGCAGTAGTGCCAGGTCCAGTGCATGTGCCGTGACCCCTGTGACACTCTCCCTGTAAAACCCCAGGACCTTGTGCCGGTCCCAGCACCAGCAGCCTTGATGAGTCTGTCTGCGGACAGCCTCTGTGTGGGAGAGGGAACCCTGTGTACTCCGAGAACACCCTGGGGAGGAGCTCATTGCGACACATGAACCTCAGGTGGCACTGGCACTTGCCCACGCTGTCCTTGCTCTGCTTTCCTGCTTTTGCCGCAGTTCAAAGGCTGCAGTTGAAATAGGAAAGAAACTGATATTGCCCTGAGTTCAATCTAATGGTCCATGGCCACTTTCTACAGGGTCACAATAGAGTCTCCTCTGGAGAATGGTATCTGGTTCTTAAGAACTGTGTCTTCCTGAATGATTCTGCAAAACTGTGCGGGCACGCACCGAGAGCAGATGGGCTAGACCTGAGCTGAGGCCGGGAAAGCTGTTTCCAAGCGTCAGGCCCTGCCTTCTTCTCAAAACTTTGTCCCAGATGAGCTGTGATACACCAAGTGCCCGGCTGCCCAATCTGCCTCTCTGCAGAGTGGATGTGGGCAGTGCACTTGGCAGGTTCATCAGGACCAGAGCTGGCCCCTGGTCTCAAGGCCAGGCTGTCTCTGCTGACTCCCCAGCAGCTGTGGGCAGCGCATGACCTCATCTGGGCAGGAGTGGGTTTGGCAGGTGTGGGCGCAGGCTGTGGTGTTGGGTGGGAAGGCAAGGCTGAGACCGCCCTGCACTCCAGCACCTGCCCAGCCGTGATGGCCCATTTCAGAAGGAGCCGCTCTGGCTGCACTCCAGGGTCCTCTCCACCAAGGACGAGGGAAAGGGCAAGCAGAGCCCACGCTTCCCTTGCAGATCAAGCTGAGGTACACCCAGCACCAGGCAGGTGCTGCACTACGCACTGTGTTCTGTTCCCGTGTATGATGTGCAGGTCTCCTGCTGAGTCTACCAGCAGCAGGGGTGTAGACTGGGTGTAGGGACGGGGCAAGCAGTACCTGCAGACCCTAACCCTAACCCTAAGTCTGTTCAGATTGGCCAGGTGGGAAGAGAGCGAGTTTGGCTGGGGCAGGGCCTCCCATCTTCCTCCAGCCCTCAAGTGCTTGGATGGGCAGGAACAGCAGTGCTGGCTGGCAAATTTCCCTTACTCTGGTGGTGGACAGGACCCCTGGACAGAGTGTACACGGAAGGGTAGAGGAGGGGGCTGATGTACCATGTGACCAAGTGGATGTGCACCCCAGTCCTGGAAGGGCACAAAGTCACTGAGACAGACCTGCACCCAGGACATTCCCACTACAGTGTCAGAGTGCAGTGTGTTGCCCACTGCTCCTGGGACACTGGTGTCCACAACCTGCTGCACTGCCACCAGTGTGACACAGCACAGCAGGCACAGGCAGTGTCACCCTGCACACAGCCACTCTGCTCCTGTTTCTCCTGTGTGTGCACTGCATATACACAGTGCTCTGCTCCTGTGTGTTCACTGCATGTACTCTGCATGTGCACTATGCTGTGCTACTATGTGTGCACTGCATGTGCACTGTGCTGTGCTCCATGTGTGCACTGCATGTGCACTGAGTGTGCTCTGTGTGTATACTGCATGTGCACTATGCTCTGCTCCTGTGTGTGCACTGTATGTACTCTGTGCACTATGTGTGCACTACGTGTATTCTACATGTGCACTGTGCTCTGCTCCTGTGTGTGCACTGTGTGTACTCTGCATGTGCACTGTGCTCTGTTTCTGTGTGCCCTGTGTGTACTCTGTGTGTGCACCATGCTCTGCTCCTGTGTGTGCACTGTGTGTGTACTGTGGATACTCTGCATGTGCACTGTGCTCTGCTCCTGTGTGTGCACTGCATGTACACATTGCTCTGCTCCTGTGTGTTCACTGCATGTACTCTGCATGTGCACTGTGCTGTGCTACTATGTGTGCACTGCATGTGCACTGAGTGTGCTGTGTGTGCACTGCATGTGCACTGTGCTGTGCTCCATGTGTGCACTGCATGTGCACTGAGTGTGCTCTGTGTGTGTACTGCATGTGCACTATGCTCTGCTCCTGTGTGTGCATTGTATGTACTCTGTGTGTGCACTATGTGTGCACTACGTGTATTCTTCATGTGCACTGTGCTCTGCTCCTGTGTGTGCACTGCATGTACTCTGCATGTGCACTGTGCTCTGTTTCTGTGTGCCCTGTGTGTACTCTGTGTGTGCACCATGCTCTGCTCCTGTGTGTGCACTGTGTGTGTACTGTGGATACTCTGCATGTGCACTGTGCTCTGCTCCTGTGTGTGCATTGTGTGTACTCTGTGTGTGCACCGTGCTCTGCTCCTGTGCATTGTGTGTACGGAGTATACTCTGCATGTACATTGTGCTCTGCTCCTGTGTGTGCACTGCATGTACTCTGAGTGTACACTGTGCTCTGCTCCTGTGTGTGCCCTGTGTGTACTCTGTGTGTGCACCGTACTCTGCTCCTGTGTGTGCACTGTGTGTGCACTGCATATACTCTGCATGTGCACTGTGCTCTGTTCCTGCATGTGCTGTGTGCATTCTGCATATGCACTGTGCTCTGCTCCTGTGTGTGCACTGCATGTGTACTGTGTGTACTCTGCATATGCACTGTGCTCTGCTCCTGTGTGTGCCCTGCGTGTGCACTGCATGTACTCTGCGTGTGCACTGTGCTCTGCTCTTGTGTGTGGTCACTGAAGCGAGCACTGCCTGCAGGCAGCCTCAGCCGAGTTCTCAGGACTGGCTGGAGGCCGTGGTCACCCTCGTAGGCAGCAGCGCTTGCTAGTGCCCAGCAGAGGACCAGACAGGAGGTGGAGGTGGAAGAGAGAGAATGAGGACTCTGCATCTTAGTTTTTAACAAAAAAATTCAAAAAGTTATAAAGAAAGCTTTGTTTTGTGCAGTGCTGGGCTTTTACATTGAGTTCTAGCCTCAGCCCTTTTTACATTCTTTATTTTGAGTCAGGATCTTACTGAGTCACTAAGTTGCCTAGGCTCATTCAAACTGGCCATCCTCCTGCCTCAGCCTCCCAGAGGAAAGAAAATACTTTCATACAGCTGCACAATACTTGTGCATTTTGAAGTTACCACAAAAGAGTGAAAAGGTTCACAAATGTAAATGTTTATAAAATAAAAAAATTGAGTGTGCTAGGATTAACTTACTACTGGTAAAGAACAAACATTTCAGAGCACAGTGTGGCCTGTGTGGCCCACATGGGTAAAGCCCATGGCCTGCAGGGTGCAGGATGGGCCTGGCCACCTGCTGGCCACGTAAGGCATGAGGTTTTAAGTTTCCTGCTCTGTCTTTGCTGCGCCCTCTCTGTGTTAGAGCTACAAGTCCCGTTGCTCCCATCATGTTCGCCCGGCCTGCAGCTCTGCAGCCAGTGGGTGTAGAGTGGGCTGTCCCACGCACTGGTCCCACCATGCAGGGACACCTGTCTGTGAGTCTCAGGCAGTGACTGCCCAGGGCACTGGGAAGAGGGACATCAGGATGGGTCAGGTCCCCTGGTCAGGATGGGGAGTGCTTAGGCCCTGGGCACCATGCAGGATGCAATGGTGGGAAGCTGGACCTCAAGATATCCCCTAGAGGGGTGTAGGGACCTGTGTCCCTGGCCCCACTGCAAGACACTCGGCCTGGGTCGGTAGCACTGTTATCCCCACTTTGTGGCTGAGGAAACCAAGAACAGAACGGACAGCAGTGCCCTGTGGTCATGTGGGAGGTGGGGAGAAGCAGTGAGACTATGGAGCCCCAGGGACAGGGTCCTGCCTGCGAGCAGACTCCCCAGAGGGTCGGCAGCCTCTGCAACAGCCTCCTTGTGAGCTAGGCAATGTCCCAGCCCGAGAGACCCTGTGGCCTCCCCACTCTGCCCCATGACAGCCAACACACCTGTGACTGTGCATCAGTGTTGGGCAGGGAGCACTGAGGTTGAGGTGTCATCCTGTTGTCCCCACTGTGGGTACCTAGGCAGCCCCGGCCTCTCAGGGCCCTCACGGATGCCTGGGCAAAGCCAGCCAGTCTCAGGCTTGCGAGTTGAAGAGCCGGCTGTTAACCTCAGTGGGGTCAAGATGCCCCTACCGGTCTGGCTTGCTGTGCAAGTCCAGCAGGAGCCCAAGGCTACTGCTTTTATTCTCTCCCAGACTGGTACATATTCCTTGGCATCCTCCTGAGGCCCAGCCCTCCCATTGCAGTGTCCCCACACTGGGTGTCTAGGCCCTGCAGCTCTAAGGCATCACTGTGGAACCTGGGTGGCACCAGGCTTCTGGGACAGGCTGTGCTGCCTTGGTTCCCCATGTTGGTCCCAGGGCCCAGGCCGCACAGCTCCCTCGGCATAGCCTGTGGGCCAGCCAAGCCCTGAAGCCTGGGTTTCTGCAGCTGTGGGCCCTCTGCCTCCTTGGAGAGTGGAGGTGGGTGTGTGGGTTTCCCCTCTTCTAGAAAGCCCAACTTGTGCAGCTCAGTCCTGCAGTAGACCTCATGTGCCCCTGAATCGTGGGTACCAGCTATTAGACAGCACCCACCCTGCCCAGGCACAGGGAGAACATGGCACTCGGTGTCTAGCTCTGCCCGGCCCAGCCCCAGGTCCAGCCTGTGCACTGAGCCGGACAATGCTCATGGAGGAGGTGGCTCTTTCCAAAGCACTGGACTCCCTGGAGCCAAGTGCTGGGTCGTGCCGGCTGCTGTCATGCTCCCTCCAATACCTCCTGGGACAGGGCTACTGGTGACTTCATCAAAGCCACCCACTGTCCCGTCCCCCAGGGGACCCACACCAGGGTCCTTTGATTTGGGCTAAGGACTCTGCAGCTAGCCCAGGCTCATTGTCCTCTCATGGACACACCACAGGGTGGGCCAGGATTGGGTGGATCGATGGCCACCCTTGTCCACACAGCATGGGTGCTGGCTCTGGGGACACTGGGTGAGGTGGTGCTGCTGCTGCAGAGGACACAGATACCACGGGTCACTCCCAAGAAACAATAATCTTCCTGCACAGCTTCAGAGGTGGGGAGGGCCAGGCCAGCAGGCACCACAGGGCCGGGGAGTGTAACTGACTCAGCCGTAGAAGGGAATGGCAAGATGGACACCTGCACCTGGCTTCCTCCTGCCCTGGGCTTCCACTCGCTTTAATTTCACTGTGGCTCCGCCTGGGCCGAGGGTGAACGGTGCCACCCTGTTCTACACAGGAGGGTCACTCAGGTCGGGATCTCCAGCCACAGGTGCAGCCAAAGGGCAGGCCCTGCCCATGCCCTTCTTTCCTGGGCTGCCAGGTGCTGCCCTGGCTGGGCCCAGTGTACACACTGGCCCAGTTCCTGCTTCGGTGCAGGGCAGGGCCACTCCCATGCGTGGTCCCCTGTTACTGACTCAGGCCACCGTGAGCACCAAAGGCAGCACCTGCCTGGAACCAGCAATTGCGCGGCAGGCTCAGTGTGGCTCCACACAGGTGGCTGTGTGGGACCCTGACAGCCGCCCATTTTTACCGCAGGGAGAGAGGGTGACAAGTACTGTTCAGCAAAAGCAAAACACCGTGTCCTGTGTGAACCCACGTTGCCCTAAAGACAGACACGCAGACACGTGTGTGCGCAGGTAGCCACACGCACAGAGAACCTTGGAGGAGACTAGCGGGGTGAGGCCGGGAGAGGCAGGGGAGCTGTTTGCTCTGGTCCTGCTTTTCCTCTTGGGTTGCCAGGGATGAACCAGGGTCTCAGCGAGCAGCCGGGAGCCCCCCAGAGCCGCACCCCAGCTCGCCCCTATCCCTTTTCTTTTTGCCTGATCATCTTCTCTGTAGGTAGCAGCCTTTTCCTGAGCAGCTGCTGTTCCTTGCACCCGGCTGCTGCTTAGAAAGTCATCCAGGGAGGTGGGAACACAAAGGCAGCACCACACCCAATGCTGGAACTCCAGACTGGGGGAGCCTCGTCTCTTGGGAGCAGAGGCCCCACCCAAGACTGGACCAGGACGCCCTGGTGATCCTGCTACAGCCAGGCTGCCTGTGGCTGCTCATGCCCTTCTTCCCTGGGGCCGCCGAGTGCTGCCCTGGCTGGCCCTTGTCTAGGTGTCCAGGCCCTAACCCGCCAACACCGTTCACATTCTCCGGGGTGGAAGCCATGCCAGCGTGGCTTTCTGGTTCATTCCTTTCCTCTTATGCAGGAGCACTTTTTGTTTTGCTCTTATTATTTCTCTTTTTGTTTTTAAAGACAGGGTCTAGGTCTGTGGCCCAGGCTGGCCTCAAATTTGTAGCAATCCTCCTGCCTTAGCCCCTTGAGTGCACACCACCAGGCCCCATTAACTCCGAGGGTGCCTCAGGAACTGACTTGGTGCCTGCCTCTTGACGGCTTCTTTTTGGTAGTTTAGTACATTTTTCCAGCTTGACCCACTGGCGAGGTACAGGCACGACTGTGCCCTTGGGTGGCCCTACCCTGGTGGTGAAGAGATACAGTCTTGCATGAGCTGTTGCCAAGGAACCATGGTTGGCTGGAGCCGGAAGGTATGAGAGGCAGGAAGTAGGGCCCTGTCATAAATCTGGGGGAGTCCTGAAAACCAGGCTCCTGGTGACCGACCATTCCTTCCCCCCTGGACCCAGGGCTGCCGTCCTCACGCCAAGGACTCAATGGGGGTCAGGACATGGCTGGAATCTCCTGGGACACACAATCCCTGCTGCTGCCTGGCTACACTCCAAGACCCAGTGTGCTGCCAGGGAGACTAAGGGCCATTTCCAGGATGAGCCAGCTCGCCTGTCCCCGAGGCTGGCGCAGCTGGTTTGGAGGCAGAGTCCTCAGGGTCACCCACCCAAGGTGTCTGGACGGTGTCCACAGGGGCCCAGCCTGTACCTGACTCTGTCTCCTTCAATTCAGTATGGGATCGTGCTGGACGCGGGGTCATCCCGGACCACAGTCTACGTGTACCAGTGGCCAGCGGAGAAGGAGAACAACACGGGAGTGGTCAGCCAGACCTTCAAGTGCAGTGTGAGAGGTGAGGGCACGGGGCGGCCATTCTGCCCAGCCCTGCTGGTCCCATCCCTTCTCCCCTGCCTCAGTTCCCCCCCCTGTAAATAGTGGGTGTCCAGCGTTTGCCCTGCCTCACCTCCATGCAGTTTGTAGAAGGGCCTCGCAGCAGCCAGTGCTGGCCTTTTCCTGTGCCTGCCATCCATTCCCAGCTTGCACAGGGCGATGTGAGGAGGGAGGTAACAGCGCTCTGGGTGGGTCATGGGGAGAAGAGCCTTGAGAGGGGGGCTGGGTGGAAGAGGGTTCAGGACTGCGGGCAGCAAGTCTGCCCAAGTCCTGGGCAAACACCGGCAGTCACCTACAGGGGGCGCGCTGACCTGCCTTCCTGAGAACCCGTCCTGGGGTGCCTCTCACAGGAGGAGGGGGCCCCATTCCCGTGGAGCTTCACCTGTAGACCCTGGAATTTGGAGTTTCATATAATCTCCCATGTCACAAAGTGCCACTCTCTTAATCACCCCATGGAGGAAAACCTAAGCTCCAGGCAGACTGAGGAGGAGGAGGGGGCTGCGCCAGCACCCTCTGTCCCTGCCCCCACACACCCCGGCTTCGTGCTGCTTGTGGCCTCGCTCTTCTGTCACTTTCCTTGTTCAACTGTGAGTTCGGTGCACGGATAGTGCCTGACGCTCGGATAGCGGCCTTGGCATTTCCACGAGGTTTGGGGCAGCGCGTGACCTCGGTGCATTTGTGCAGCCACGGTGTGATGTTCAGCACCGGCGTGCAGCGTGCAGCATGCGGCCGGTCATGGGGTGATATGCAGTTCTGTCTGCGGAGAGGACGCCAGGAGCCTCGGTCCTGCTCGTCCTCCCGATCCTCCAGCCCCCGGATCCCTTCCGCATGCTTGGAGCCATGCCGTGGCTTCTCCATAGGGAGTCCCGTGGCGTGTGTCCTCCTGCGTCTGATTTCTCCCTCTCCGTGGTGGGCTATGGCCAGACCCATTCAGTGCTGGGACCGGCGCTCCTCCTCTGCGCGGCCCAGGGAGATTCCTCGGTGTGCGCACGCTGCGTCCTCTTAAAGAGGGAAAAGGGAGCGGCTCCTGTGGGTCGGCGGGGTATAAGTTGGTGCAGCCCATGGCTGCTCCTGAAATTGCTGAAGCCAGATCTCCATGCAACCCCCACCACCACCACCTCTGGGTCTGTGTAGCCCCGGGAGGTGAAATCAGCACCCCAAGGAGACCCCTGTAGCCATTTGTACCTATTCAGCCCTGTTCTCAGCAGCAAAAGTGTGGGACCGTCTTGTTCTTTATAGTTTCTTGTCTTTGTGTCTTCTTGAGACAGTTTCCCGAGGTAGTTCAGGCTGGCCTTGAACTCACGGTGTAGCCCACACTTGCCTCATGGCCATCCTCCTGCCTCAGCCTGCCAAGTGCTAGGCTTACAGGTGTGCACCACCATACCTGGCTCTTTTGTAGTTTTATATATTTAGTTTTAACTGTTTGTGAAAAATCAAATCAAAAGTGCACCTGTGTACTCAAATATATTTTCTATAATTTCCCTTAGTCGCTGGCATTAGAGTTTCAAGATCCATCAGTTGTTTTTATTTTTTCTGGTCCTGTGCAGAGGTGGGGATCACACTCTGTCCAGGGAGTGGGTTTGTGAGCACAGCACGTCTTCATCTTCTCGAGGGCCTCCTTCCATCTCTGATGTCAACAGGAGTGGAAGTTGCTCATTACCTTTCCCCTGTTACTGGACGTTTCCGTTTCCCTGGTTACTAATAAGATCAGCGTCTCCGTGTACTGATGGCCGTTTCCATCATCCGTGCGTGGTGGTGGTGTGAGATTGCTGCTAGGAGCTCACTGAGGTGGTCTGTGTTGTCTGAGTCCCCTGTACCCCGGGTAATGGAGGCCTGAGTTCTTATGTTGGCGCAGGTGCTCGCCAGTTCTCGTGCGTTGCTCCCGCGTGCGGCTGCCTCCCCATCCTGCAGTGGTAAAGACAAGCTGTCACAGCTCCGAAGTTTTGCCTTGTGAGTTCACTGTGGAATGTGTGGCCTTTCTGGAGCTTCCCCTTACTCTGTGAAGGGTGACTGCAGCTGCACGGGGCCCTGGGTCCCACATGGGTCACAGGTGTCCCCACTGTGGGGCTGTGGACCTGATCAGGTGTTTTCTGAGTGTTTCATGTAATAGGCCTACAGTCTCAGCAGCTAGCCTGTGCTGACCCAGCCAGCGACCTCAAGCAACTCAGTTCAGCCACCTTCTGAGCCGTCTTCCTCCTTGCGAGCTCCTTTCCCAACTCGGGACACAGCAGACAGTGTGGTACCAGTGGCCTACCCTCCGCCCTATGCATGAGTACAGGCATCAAAGAGCTGCACCCCCTCCTCTCTGAGATGAGAGAAACAGTAACAGTGGCCCGGTCCTGGCCAGGGACTGGAGGATCAGTGAGGAACATGCATAGGAGGTGGCACATGCCCTCCCGGCCATGGCCCTCAATGATTTCACCACCACCAGTGCCCCTGGGCATCCTCCTGCCTCCAGCTACTCTGTCTCATGACTCCAGGCTTTCTCTCGCACCCATGAGTCCTGGTAGCCCCATGCCGCAAGGTCACTGGCAGGGCACAAGGAAGGCCCTCGCCCACACTGGAGCATGTGGCTTAGGGATGGGACGTGTGGTCCCAGAGTTGGCCATGCTTCCATAAATGGACCTTCCTGACTTTGATCACAGTGGCCGCAGGGATCCGTTTACACTCGGGGTGGCCCAGAGGACCTCAAGCCATAGCGTAAATTACAGAGCAGATGTCTGGTGGGGATCGTGTCCTCCAGGACACGTGGCTGTGAAGCCCTGAGACAGGGCTCTGGCTTGCAGACTTCCCAGGACCCTGCCCTGGCAGCCTCACAGGGTGGCTGGACATTGCTCGCTCTGCAGGGCCCCACGTGCACTGCCCTCAGTCCCAGGGGTGCTGCTCCTCAGCAACAATGTCCCCCATACATTCATGGGCTCTGCCGGGGCCTGGTCCTCATGCTCTGGGCCCAAGGACAGGACCTCTCTGCACTGCCCTCCACTCCTGAAAGGGCTCACGTCTGTTGCTGCCTCTCCCTCCAGGGACATTCAGAGTGTTTGTGCTTTAAACCAGCAGTCAGAAGTCTCCGAAGTTCCCTGGAACCTGGTCTCTACTGTCCTCTGCACTGAAACACCCCAGGGGGCCGATTGCAATGGGGCATCACAGTAACAAAAGAGCCTGTGCCCTGGTCGGCTGGCACAGGCTGACCACAGGACTCCACCCCTGCCCCAGCACAGAGAGCCTGTGCCATCCGCACAGCCCCTACCCCACAGCAAAATAGCAGGTCCGGTCACAGTATCTGACCCAGGTGTGGTGAGGCTCAGCTTTTCTTTCCCGAGAGGCCCAGGAGATCCGAGGAGAGGCCCCAGGTTGAGACCTGGCACCCGTCACGTGCTCTCTTGCTCTTGACCTGCCTGGCAGAGGCAGCACTGGTGCACTGTGCAGCTAACCCCAGGCTGGACTCACAGTCCCCTTGCTGCAGAGCTGGGTGCTGGTTTAACAGTCACTGATTGATTGACGTGCTCATTTAGAAACATTTACTGGGTCTGCCAAGAAGTGTTCTTGTCATTGGAAATCAGAAAGAAAAAAAAAAAGCCACAAAATTTGTGCTGGTGCATGCTATAGACCCTCCCTCCAGCTGGAACCTGGTGCATACCTATAACCCCGGCACTGAGAAGGCTGAGGCAGTAGCATTGCTGTGAGTCCAAGGCCAGGCTGGGCTACACAGCAAAAACCTGCTCAAAAAACCACAAAATGAAATGAATAAAATGACAGAATACTTCTGTTCCGGTGAGGGAAGCAGAGAGAAGATGCGTGGGCAGCAGGGCGAGGTGGGCCTGGGACTGGCCGCTCAGTCAGGAGGGAGGTGGAGCAGTTACGTGATGTCCAGGGAGAGGAAGGGCACCTTGCAGGTGTCTGGGGAGCCCATGTTGGACAGAGTCATGGTGGGGAGGAGGAAAGGGGAGGCTGCCCCCCATTGCTGGGATGGATGGGGCACCACTGGGCAAGCAGGATGGAGGGAAGTGAGAGGCATCCAGCTCCTGAGTGGCCGGGAGGAGGGAGGAGGCAGCTCGTGCTGCGCTCATGTGGGCTGCAGGAAGGCGAGGGAGGCTCTGATCCTGAACCACTGTGAGGGAAACAGACCCCCAGTAGAGAGTTCTCCTCAGAGCCATGGTGAGGAGTGTTGTGCCCGGTGGTGGCAAAGCGGACGTCATTGCCCAGAACACAGTGGTCGGCACTGGCGTCATTACAGCTCCGAAGAGCTGAGCTATGGTGGGGGTTCTGGTAATGAGCATTTCCAGCAGGGAAAAGCAGGCTGCAGATTAAGATGGAAGACGCTAAGTCAGTCTTGTGTGCAAAATTCAAATGCGTGATGCATGTTCTCCTAAAGTTTTGTCCAAGTCTGTTTGCCACAGCTTGGACTGAACACACTAGCTCCAAAACTTTGGGTGCTAAATACTATTTATCAATGAAAAGAACCACGGGTTCTTGGGAGAATGGTCAATTCCAGATCAGACAGAGAATGTACAAGGTCGGCTGACACCACATCAGAAAGCCACCAGGCTTGGGAAGATGTGGGGATTGAGTCTGAAGGCTAACGGTCAAAGACAGGATAAGAACAGTAACTCAATGAACAGAAACATCAAATACTTCCAGGCTACAGGTTCTTGAAGGAATCAAAGTTCTCGTTGGATAGATGTGTGGCGTGGTGGAGATGCAGCTTATGTTTCTAAAGCTGATGAGTCAGCAGGAACTTACCTTCCCTTCACTGCAGAGATGAGCCATAGTGCAACTGACCAGTGCCATGGCGAGGTCTTCCTCATCACAGAACACAGTTAAAATCCTGTATCTGCACCCCTCACATATCAATCCGTCTAAGCTGTGAGCATCGGCGACTGCTAATGGCACTGGAGGAAATGTTCTGTGGAAATGCATGCTCACCCATGTAGTATTCCTTCCAGAAAATTCAAACCGAATCCAACCAAGCTTCAATGTGTACTAAGAGTTTACAGGGAACCAAGTAAGCCAGATGTCAGATGGACTGCGGGAAATAGTGGGAAACTGCAGGACAAATGAAAATGCAAAATAATTTTAAAACTCTAAGGAAAAACATAATGGAAGGAAAGAACCAATATTAAAAGAGACTTCTGGTCACAGTGTAAGAATGTGTTGAGACTCTGATTCACCAGAATGAGAGCGAGAGGAGGGAGAAAGATGAAGGCACCTAGCAGAGGGGGAAGGGAGGAGGGTAGGAGGGGAGAGGAAGGGTGTGGGGGCAGTGTGAGCCGCAGTCGGCCCCCAAGGGCCAGGATGTGGACCCAGCTACCAAAGGGGAGCAGGTGGAGACCGCGCCCGTGCACAGTGGAGGGTGGTGGGCTGCGTCCAGCGCTGTGTTACACAGACCAGGCTGAGCGCAGGCAAACTGGCACTGCATGCCTCCGGACTTGTGGAGCCGGAGAAAGTCCATCCTCCCACAGCTGAGTGTAGAGCAGCGGCTACGATGTGGGGCGGGAGCCAAGGCAAAGGTTAGAGCAGAAGGGTCGTCTCTGGGTTCCATGGCCCAGTGGGATGGAGGTGCTGAACAGCAGTACCGAACAGCTCTGCAGACAGCTCAGAGGATCTGGACTGTTTTGTTACCATAAAGAAATGAGAAGCGTTGAAAGCGGCAGATGTGCTGATTACCTTGATTTGTTCATTACGCAGGGTGTATGCAAACCAAGACATCGGGTATTCCCTCATAAATATGTATAAATATTTTGTGTCAGTCAAAAACAAAGATAAAATTATTTCTAGTTTTCCTGATGTCATCATGAAACTCTAGTTATGTTGTTTTGTTGTTGTCATTGTTTTTTGAACCTGGGATTGAACTCACAACCTTGTACATGCCAGGCAGGCACTGTTTTGTTTTTGGTTTTGTTTTTGTTTTTTTGAGACAGCGTCTTGCTATGTAGCCCAAACTAGCCTCAAACTCAAGGCTCCTTCTGCCTCAGCCTTCCGAGTACGGGGATCACAGGTGTGTGCTACCACACCCAGCTTTGGTTATGTTTTTTGTTTGCTTGACAGGGGTTTGTGTGACAGGGTCACACTGCAGGCTGGCCCTGAACTTGCTGTGTAGTCCAAGCTGACCTGAAACTCACAGTGATCCTCCTGCTTCAGCCTCCCGAGTGCTGTGATTACAGGTGTGCGTCACCACGCCAAACTGATTATGCTTTTAAAGGGATTTTTCCAGTGATTGGCACTGAGGCCTTGGGCCAGTCGTGCAGCCAGTGCAGCCTGGCTCTGTGGCCCTGGCCAGGCACATGGTGTCCTTGGAGCCGAAGGACAGGAAGGTGGGCCCCACTTCAGTCAGCACCTTCAAAGCTCTTGTAAGGCAGATGGACAGACAGACAGATGGACAGCCCCTTTGTCCGTATTGTTACCCAGCGGTGTTGTTTCCCAATCCTCTCAGCAAATCAAGTTAACCAGCACATCTGCCGCCTTCGATGTTTCTCATTTCTTTATGGTAAGAACAGTCCAGATCCTCCGAGCTGTTTGCAGTGGACCCAGAAACCTGGTCCACTGCATGGGGCTCCTTTTCTTTCTCTGCTTAGGTCTGGGTTTTCCCTCAGGAAAATGTTTCTCAGGCAGCTGCAGGCTGACCTCCTTCGCCATGTAGTCCATTTTCCGCTGGGGCTGGGCAGGACAGCATCTGTGACTGCCATATCCAATCAGCAGCCCCCACAGACCCAGGCGTTTCCAGAGCTGCTTTTTCATTTCAAAGTTGTCCGGAAGACCTGTGCCAACGCTGACCACTTGCTCCCCAGGCCCCGGGATCTCCAGCTATGGGGACAACCCGCAGGACGCCCCCACAGCCTTCGAGGACTGCATGCAAAGAGTCCAGCAGCAGGTCCCAGTCTCCCTGCACCGGTCCACGCGAGTCTACCTCGGGGCCACAGCGGGGATGCGCCTGCTCAGGTGAGGGCTGCACGGAGCTGGAGGGAATGGCTCTGCCTCCGGGCGGCCACAGGGAGGGCCACACGGCCCAGTGCTCTGGCGCTCACAGGGAGCCTGTGGTCTTCAGTACCCAGAATGCAGCAGTTCTACACCCAGTCCTCTCCCTTGATTTTCCAGAGAACTCTGGAAAGACAGAGAGACAGAGATAGAGACAGAGACAGAGAGGGACAGAGAGTCAGACAGATGGATAGAGGCATCAGCGTCTGGGAGGTGATGGCGTCTGCCCCTGGGTTCCTCTGCTTTGTTAGGGGCGGGCTGTTTGGAGCCCCGTGGACACCAGCTCAGTTGTGCAGCCAATGTAGCCTGGCTCTGCGGCCCTGGCCAAGCACACGGTGTCCTGGGAGCCGGAGGACAGGAAGGTGGCCCCATTTTAGTCAGTACCTTCAAAGCTCTTGTGAGGCAGATGGATAGACAGACAGATGGACACTCCCTTTGTCAGTACTGTTACCCAGCAATGTTGTCTCCCATCCTCTCTGTCTCTCTCTGTGTCTCTATCTCTGTCTATTTGTCTGTCTGTCTGTGTGTCTGTCCTTCTCTGTCTCTGTCTCTCTCTGTTTCTGTCTCTCTGTCACATGCTCGCACTTTTCCCTTTATTGTAGTTTCTCCTTGATCTTGAAATAGAAGCACAGCAGGAACAGGTGAAGAAGGAAACATCCGCTGAGACCTACCCAGAGTAGAGCTGCCCTGGGTCTGAACTAAGGCTCTCACTAGAAGCCGGTGCTGTGCCACCTCGGGCACCCGCAGGTTATAGGAGTCTGGGCATGAAGACCGCACAAAGGCGTGAATCAGCCTGTGCTGTAACATGGTGCCCGGGAGAAATCCTGGCACGCAGCTGGCAGGCCTCTTCCGGGAGGCTCCCTGCCCGGGCCAGCTGCCCATTCTGCCTCCCAAGTTCCTTTCTACCCACTGCCGCTGAGGGGAGATCATCTCAGAAGTGAGCAGGGGGCCACGGCAGTGCTGTGCTGTGGGGACCAGACCATGGGACAGAGCACAATGGTGGTCAGTCCAGGGACAGCGTGGGGGGCCCAGGCCCCTCCCAGAGTGGAAGGCCACTCCCTTGGCCTGTGTGGGCCAGGCACTGCCAACGGAAGCCCTGGGTTATCCGATGGCTGGAGAACAGGCCAGGAAGAGGGAGGGAAGGGGGACGGGCTGTCCTCTGGAGCGATGTTTACCCCCTGGCAGTCTGACAGGTGACAAGTTCATCTGGCAGTGTAAGCTTCAACTTGCAAAACAGGTTGCAGCGTCAGGCTGTGCAGTCCCCTGTGCGATTGTCCTTGCTCCCTGAGGGAGGCTTTCAGGCTGGTGTCCAGGACTCAGCCCTTTGGGTTCTGTGCTTTCCATAGGCTGCAGAATGAAACGGCAGCTGAGGAAATCCTCGCCAGCATCCAGAGCTACTTCAGGTCCCAGCCCTTTGATTTCAGGGGCGCTCAGATCATTTCGGGGCAAGAGGAAGGGGTGTACGGATGGATCACGGCCAACTACATTCAGGGCAACTTCCTGGAGGTGTGTGGCTTGTCTTCCCATCCCTGGGGGCTCTGTATGTGGTGGAGCAGGGGTGCTGTCACTCTGCAAGGCATGTGGAAGAGGCCTTGCTTCCAAGTCTTAGCAGGAGCAGGGAGCTCGTGCCTCCCATCCCACATCCCCATAGTACCACCTCTGCACTCCCTGCTCCTGGGAACAAAGGGGAGTCACGTGTGCCACATCGCAAAAACCTAGGGCACCAGGCCATAGCCCATTCGAGGCCCCTCTGTCCCCTATTAAATTCATGTTTTAATGTTAAATTAATGGCCAACTTGAGAAAATGAGCCACGAAGGCCCGCTGGACCTCTTCCGCACGCCCTGATGCTGGTGGCAGAGCAGCACCAGCCCCTGCTGCTCAGCCCCGCACCCCCTCACGCCCCTTCCCTGCAGAAGGACCTGTGGCACACGTGGGTCCACCCGCACGGCGCAGGAACCACTGGCGCCCTCGACCTGGGCGGAGCCTCCACGCAGATCGCCTTCGCTGTCGGGGACACGGGGATGCAGAATGCCAGTGACGTCGTGCAGGTGGCACTGTACGGCTACACATATGTGCTCTACACGCACAGCTTCCAGTGCTACGGCCGCAACGAGGCCGAGAAGAGGTTCCTAGCGCTACTCCTGCAGGTGCGCGGGGCCCAGGGCTTCCCGACCCGGCCAGGGTGGGGCTCTGTCTGCCTGGGCCCCTCCGCAGTCTTGGGGGTGGTGCAGTGGTGCACGCTGCACCTTGCGCTCCCGCCCCTCCCGGTCCCCTCTTCGTCCTCTCTTCCCCCCCCACTCCTGTCCTCCTCTCATCGTCTCTTCCCCCCACACCACTTCTGGTGAGTCTGAGTATGGAGGCCAGGGAAGTTGCCTGGGCTACAGATGTCTCGAAAGAGGTTCAAGATGAACCTGGGCTTTCTATGTGGACCCCAACTGTTTTCAGCTAGTTGCTGAAGAAGCCTGAGGCCTTAGAGAGCCCTTGGCACATTAGAACCAGAGCATCGAGGGTCTGGGCGGGAGCGGGCGCAGGTGCAGCCTCTCAGGATGGGCCTGGAGCCATGGGAGGACCGGGGGGGGGGGGGGGGGATGGAGGACCTGAGGGCTGCCCAGAGACGCGTATTGGTTGTAAGATACATTTTTAAGTGAAAACGTGAAAGGCAGAGCAGTGTGCCTAAGGCATCCAGCTGTGTGATTTAAACAGAGAGGAGGAGAAGGAAATCTGCTCCGGGGGGGGGGGGGGGGGTAGACCCCCGCAGAGATGCCTTCCAGAGCCCATCTGGCCGAGGGGGCAGGAAAGTGCTTTTTCCTAGTACATCTGTTTGTACCTTGTGGGTTGTTTTCACTAGACAGAGACAGAGTCTGTTCAAAATGGTTTGTTGGTCTAAAGATACCTGTTTTCCTGACCAAAGCAGAGGTCTCAAGACCCACTTGCAGGGGCTGTCACAGGCAGGTGTCATTCCACCCTCCCTTCCCTGCCCGAGTAGGCTTCTTGCCTGGTCCCAGACAGGGTGAGGCATGGTGGTGCTGTCCAGGCTGTGTGCTGTGTTGGAGGTCAGGAAGAGGAACCAACTCCCACCTCCCTCCTGTGCCCGCAGAATTCCTCCGCTGCCACCCAGGTCACCAACCCCTGCTACCCTCGGGGTTACCGTGTCACCATCCCCATGGGCCAGGTGTTCGACAGCCTGTGCACTGTCCAGCAGAAGCCAGCCAGCTATGATCCCCTCCATAGTGTCATTTTTAAAGGAACGGGGGACCCCGGGCTGTGTCGGGAGACCATGGCCTCCATATTTGACTTCAGTGCCTGTCGTGGCCAGGAAGACTGCTCCTTCGATGGGGTCTACCAGCCAAAGGTCCAAGGGCCATTCGTGGTGAGAACACACCCCTGAGGCTGGGCTGTGAGGCTGAGAGCTCAGCCCTGGCCTGTGTCCCTGCTGCACCCGGCCCTATGCTTTTCCCCATTTACATGCTGCCGTGGCCCCGGCCTGAGCCCCTCTCTTCGTATGCTGTCTGCAGGCCTTTGCCGGCTTCTACTACACGGCCAGTGCACTCAACCTCTCAGGGAGCTTCCCCCTGGCTACCTTCAATGCCAGCACCTGGCACTTCTGCTCGCACACCTGGGCTGAGGTCAGTACCAAGGTGGACATCGGGGTCCGTGTGACAGTGTCTCAGGGTGTTCTGTCTGTGCACTTCTGCAAAATCGGGACTAGGGAGCCCCTTTCATACTTGCTTATGTGGGGTCCTGGCCACATGGCACAATGGTCAGAGCTGGCTCTGCTGACCCAAAGATCCCCATTGCTTCACATGGCTGTGCCCAGACAGCTCAGTCATTGCTCAGCCCTTTGTACCATAGTGGGTGGTGACATTTCCACAAGAACAGGTGCTGGCCCAGGTGTCCTGGGAGTGCTCCTTGGGGTGCCTACCTGCACCTCCTTTCAGGGGCCCTAACTTCCTCGGCAGCTCCCTATCCTGCTCCCCAAGTTCGATGAGGTGTACGCACGGTCCTACTGCTTCTCCGCAAACTACATCTACCACCTGCTGGTGCACGGATACAAGTTCACCCACGAGACTTGGCCCCAAATCCAGTTTGAAAAAGAAGTAAGTGGAACCTCAAGTTCCTTTCCCTTCACCTTGAAAACAGGTTCAGTGCCTGGGAGGGGCACACAGACGTGGAGGGGTTCACAGCGTGCACCCTTGGAAGTGGGTGACCCTCCCAGGAGAACAGAGAGGGCTGGGGATGGGGAGATGAGGTCCTCCTCAGAGGAGGAGAGGAGGCCAGACCGGATGAGGCAGCTGTGGGAATGACATCGCCTCCCAGCTGCTTATTCCCAGGTCCAGCGCAGGGTGGGACTTTGCAGAGTGGCTGCTGAGGCAGTGAAGAGCTGAGACTTTCATCCTAAAAGAAACCTCAACTGTAACCTAATTTTAAGCCAATAATAATAAGTTGTTCCCACTTTACAGTCAGAGTAAGATCACAGCTTGGAGCAGGAATTTGCATTATCGCATTAGCACATTGCGCAGGAAGCTCCTCCTTAGAGGAGCCTGTGCTTTCACAGCCCTCAAGGACCTTTGGGCTCAGCGTTGTATGTATAACTTGTCCCTGCCTATGAGTAATCATCACCATGTGTGAATTTATGTGACAACTGTGACTATTGTTAAGGACCAGCTGCCTGCAAAGTGGAGGGACAGCTGTTAGCAGCCCAGCAGGACTCCGCCTGGTGGAGGTATGGCCAGCCCAGCCCTGACCCAGAGGGGCTTCTTATTTCAAGAACAGTGAACCGGGGTCCTGGGGATCTGAAATCAGCCTGCTGGTACCAGCCTCAGATCATTAGATTAGATCAAGCAAGATCCTGCCTGAGGCTGGAGCAGTCTGTTTTCCCAGAAATAGAACTGAGCCATTATAGATGTCTGGCAGTGGTGTCCATCGATGTCTGAGCTTGGCTGCTGACAAACCTCTTGCTCCTGAGGGCACAAGGGTTTCTGTGGGACAGCAGTCTGCATAGGATGCTCTGGCTTTAAGTTCTTTTCCTTTAATCAAAAAATTTTATATGCGATTGAGGGCAGTGGTACACACCTGTCACTCTGAGCCCTATGCAGCAAGATCGTAACTTTGAGATCAGCCTGGGCAACATAGTGAGATCCACAATCAAAAAGAAAGTGCTAGAGAAGAATATGGTATCCAACCAAGTTAGTGCTTAAATATCAGGCTGTAAAAAGGCTGGAAATTGTGCCCCACTGAGACTTACCCTGGAAATATCTGTTTGGAAGTAGTAATCAAATAAGACAAATAAATCCAGGAAATGTTACAGAAATATAGGAAGTAAGAATAGGTAGTATGAATAAAGAAAAATAGAAGACAAATATCCATCCGTATAAGACATAGCAGCCTAAAATTCTTGTTGAAAGGAACACACAGATATCATTCTGAAGGCAAGAATGGGAAAAGAGATAAACAGAGCAAAATAACAGTAATGGAAATTGTTAAAGTAATTTGCTAGAGAAAAGTCTCTGTGTAATCATGCACAGGCTATGTCATCAGATTTTTAAAAATCTAGTCCAGTGATGCCTGAGCATAAGGACTTTTCATATGCAAACTGTTGGGTGATAAACATGACCTCAGCCACCTTTTCCCGAATCACGAAACGAGTTAGTCTGTGAACCCAGGGACCCCTACACCTGGCAGAACCATCTTTACAGTACAGAGTGTCCTTTGAGACGAAAGGCCACAGCATAATGATAGAAAGCTCAGTTCTCTTACGAAGCAAGACTTTTATGTATTAATAAAATCGCTTAAAAACGTGAAGCCAGAATGAGCAGAACCAGGTGAGAAGCTGGCACAGCTGCTTCTACGCATCGCTGTCCTTAGAGAAGAGGTCTCTCTCTAGCCGGGGGCGCTGCTGCCCTGGCACAGGTGGGCTTTGCTGCCTCTGTAGTGCTGAAGGCAGCTGGTCCTCCACAGCCCCCAGGGTCCAATGTCCCTGGGCCCCGTGGGTGGACATTGTGTGCCCAGGCCTGAGCCTTGACCCCTCCCCTCCGCAGGTGGGCAACAGCAGCATAGGCTGGTCACTTGGCTACATGCTCAGCCTCACCAACCAGATCCCAGCCGTCAGCGCTCTGGTCCGCCTGTCCATCCCGCCACCTGCCTTCATGGGCCTCCTCGCCTTCTTCACGGCCAGTACCTTGCTGAGCCTGGCCTTCCTGGCATTCCTGTGCTCTGCAGCCAGGACAGAGAAGCGCTCTGAGCACGCCCTCGAGCATGCTGTGGATGCCGACTGAGATGGGGCTGGGCTACACAGGGACACCCACCCCTCGGGACACAGCTGTCTTTTGGGAGCACAGCTGTCAGGCATTGCCTTCCTCAGGTTCACCCTAGAGCCCTGCACCACCCAGCACCACTCCTCCGGAGAGCCCTGCCAGCCTGGAGGCATAGCGACACCCCGTGCAGGGCAGGCACTTCGCCCATGTTCCCACAGAAAGGGGGTATTGGAGACGCAGCAGCTTTTGTGGGGGACCCAAGGCCAAGTTTCCATTCCCTCCTCCGTATCTCTTCTGGCAGTACAGAGGCCTGCAGTTACACAGTGACTGTCCTGACCCAGACTCCCCGTGAGCAGCTCTGAGCTGGGGACCACAGCAAGGGGTGGTCGCAGGGGCTGGGCCCTTTGTCCTCCAGGACCCAAGGCAGAGACTGCTGTGTCCCAAAGCTGTCTTCGCTGGCTGAGACTCACTCTCACTGCACTCACCCGGGGACCCGAGGAGGGCCTTATAGGGCAGGAGCTGCCGTGTGTCAGGCTGCGGGCTGGTAGCTGCCCCGTGAATAAAGAGCCCTTTCTGCCTTGTGCTGTGTGTGTGAACTCAGCTGCCCTGCTTCTAAGGGCCCAAGGCAATTGTTCAAGAAGCTAATGAGTGAGAGTGATACACGTGAGCATCGCTTCACTCCAGAGTGCTTTCGCTTATTTAGAGCGGGCTGCCGGAGGTCCCCAGGCCACATGCGGCCCTCTCTGACCTTTGCAGTTGCTAGCACCAAACCTCTCCTCAGGTCTCGACTCCCTGCCCCAAACCTGGCCCTGGCTCCTTGCTCTCAGCTGCTGCCCTTCAAGGTCCCCAAAGTGGTCCTCACACTGCCTGCACACTGCCTCTCCCTGCTCAGCCGCTCTCTGGCACTGCTCCTGCACATTCTAGTTTGTCTCGATGGGGCTGATTTCTAAGTCAGTCGCAGACAACTCAGCCCCTGTCACACATCACTCACTCACTGAAGACTCCCAGCAGCACCTCGGACGCGTCTCACACTTGCAAGTGTGACTTTGAGTCTGGGTTAATGCTGTGAGCCCAGAATTTTCTCATGTTGACTGGGTCATTTCCAAAAGTGACAGAAGGACAGGCGATGTCAGACATAACAGCACCCAGAATGCCAACAGTGTGCAAGAAAAGACTGCGTTATGGGGGCCCAAGGGCCAGAACCCCCACCACAGGCGCCCTTGCAGCACCCTCAGCCCACCTGGGGGTTCTGACACGTCATTCAGGGCGCAGTGATGACATCGACATCTGGGGGATGTCTTGGTGACTGAGGCAAGCAGCATCCTGAGACGTCCCCAGCACCCGCACTGCTCTGTGATCTTCCCTGACCATGCAGCCCCAGGAGCAGTCAGCATCGTCGGCCGAGAATGGGAGGCAGCACGGCCAGCCTGGCCTCAGACAGGCGCTCACCTGCAGCGGGGCATTTTCCCAGGAGCAGAAGTCAAGTTCAAGGGGCTGGGGATTTAGCTCAGCGGCATAAGTGCCTGCCTTGCAAGCAGGCAGTCGTGAGTTCGATCCCTGGCACCGGTAAAAATGAAAAAAACAAAAAACAAACAAAAAAAAGTCAAGTTCAAGCATGAAAAGGTTCCTCTGCTGCAGCCAGCTTGCAACTGGAGGGGGCCATGTAAAAATGGACAGAGAATCAGGGTGCCTGGCATCCTGGCACTATGGTAAGTTGAGGCAGGAGGACTGTGCAGAATTCAAGGCCAGCCTTGGCTATATAGTGAGACCCAGTACAAAAACTACCCTGGTGACGGGCTGGGGATGTGGCTCAGCGTGAATATCCCAGAAAAGAGGGCAAGTAAGGGTCTGAGAGCCACCTCAGGAACAGGGTGCCCCTGCTGACAGGCTGCGTGTGACACAGGCACTCCATTCTGCATGGCAAGGAACTGGATTCTACTGATGGCCGAGAGACCCTGATTCTCCCAGGGCCTCCAGGTGGATGTCCACTCAGGCAAGTCCACTCACAGGTGACCACAGATTCCAGCCCAGGACCTGGCGCCCAGAAGTAAGCTGAGCCTGCCCACTCTGGACTGAGCAGCCGGTGCTGTTTGAAGTCCCAAGCTCGGCCAGTTTTAGTCTCAGAAAACTGACACAGCTGTGGAGCAGGAGCCCCAGCCCCAGCCAGAGCACAGACCGCAACCAAGTGCTGGAGAGAAACCTCCAGGGAAGCAAGGGTGTCTACTCCCTCCTGGGAGCCAGGGGGACACTGCATACAATGGCAGCCTTGGCAGGGGCCTCATGAGCTGAGCCCCTGCCTGACTGTGGTGCAAACCCGTCACTATTTCAGAAGGGAAGGAGACCAAGAGATGGAGGGGGGAGTGGGGGAGCATACAAGCAATCATGATGTCACGTGGAGGCGCCAGCTCCTTAGGTGACACGAGCGCTATGTACTATACACACGGATGAATAAAATATGTTTAAATGCTGTCCACATGGGCAGTGGCGCAGCTGGCCGAGGCCTGGCTGAGGACCTGCAGTATGACAGGCAGTTCACAGGCAGATGTCTGGGGCTCCACAGAGGTGTCAGCCAGGCTGTGGGATAACAGGGAACCTGGGGGTCCCTGTGTGGAGAAAAAGTCAAATTCAAGTCCTTTCTCACTGTTTGCAAGATCCACGCCGAGCTCTAAGAGACAAGCTCTGCAGTTAAAGGTTTCAGAAGAGAATCCAGCAGAATCTCAGTGTTACCTGGTGTGTTAAAGGACAGTGTCAGCCTCGAGGATGGCCAAGAGCAACGTGTCACCAGGAAGCAGCACAGTCTGCCCCGCTGTCCTTCATCTGGCTGCCACACACTAGTGAAGCCTGGCCCCGCCTATGGCCAGGGTGCTGCAAGAGCATGACAAAGTTCTTCCTCTGAAACCTGGGCCTTGAGGGCCCTCTGCTGGCACCAGGAGAAAATCCTCTGGGCTGATCTGAGTCCTGATTTGCTTATTCCTAATTAAAGGTGGGAGGGGGCACCGACTATTAGTTCAAAAAACCTTTAGGGCTGGGAGTGGAGTTCTAGCCTTGCACACACGAGGCTGGTATGCACATCCCCCAGAGAAATTAGCTTTGTGCTCTGCATGTGTGAGGTGCACTATACAACACATTTTAAATATATTCATCAGCATATATTAATTTATCCTACTACATTCTAAAACACGAGGCTATTGGACACGTGACTACTCAGTGTTACCCAGGAATAACTGCTAACCTTTGCTAAGGTGAGGCAACGTGGTGTGGATTTTTTCCCCAAGAACACTTAGTGTAGAGCTGCACCTGGCTGAAGATCCAGCAGCCCTTCCATCCCGTTCTGCAGGTCTGTAGGTCTGCAGGTCTGCAGGCTCACAACCCAAACCCAGACTGACCTAGAGTCCATGCAACCCCGTCGAAATTCCCACACTCTGTGTTATAGAGTGATGCGGTCACCTCTAACTACAGGCAAATAAAAGGACCTATAGCCGCCAGGAAGGTCTCAGAGCTGGCACCGTGTCCCTGTGCAGAAAGCTGTCCAGGACACTCATAGCAGCTGTAGTTACGGCCCCATTCCAGAAAGTCCCAAATGCCCATCAAGAGGAGAGCAAAAGACCAATGGGACAGTCATAGAGCAAAGTGCAGCTCAGCAGCATGTGGGGTTGGACACCAAGCACCCAGAATGACCCAAGCAACTCCTAGAATCCCACTGGGCTGGCTCAGTGTCAGAGGGCATCAAAACAGTTAGTGTGTGCAGGCAGAGGCAGCAAGAGGGGTCTGCCAGGCCGGGTGACGGCAAGGTGGTAAAGGAAGAGGGACAGGTGGGCGCGAGTGTCCCGCTGTGCATGGCAACCAGGACATGAGACCTGGAAGCTCATTCCAGTGCAGGCTCGAGGTCCATGCAATTGTGCTTCAGGGGAGAGACAAAAGGACAGAGGGTTTCTAAGACAGACAACAATGGAAGAGTGGTATAGGGATGAAAACTTCCAGGTCAGGAGTTTGTATACAAAGGCTGCTTTAAGTGTAAGCCAAGCAGGCTTTTTTCTTATTTTGTGTTTTTAAATTTTTTATTGGTACATTTTAGGTATACACAATGGTCAGATTTGTCATACGGAATTTTACCTGTACATGATTCCCCTTGATTTTTTTCCCATTCCACGCCCCACCCTTCAACCCCTCTTCCCACTGTGTCAATTTTTTCCTTCTATTCTCTTTTGCAGGTTCTTTCAAAGTTACATGATTTCTTCTCAGCAGACACAGTGGCACATGCCTGTAATCCCAGCTTGCTGGGGTGCTGAGGCAGGAGATTGCTGCAAATTCAAAGCCAGCCTAGGTCCATCGTAGGGTCAAGCCTACTCTGGACAACACAGCTGAGACCTTGTCTCAAAAACACCAGAAAATAATTATTTCTTCTCCAGGAATGTGCTACTGATAAAATTACGTTAAAATTTTAGAACCAAATATTGGTTTTTCTTTTTTTGGTACTGGGGACTGAACCCCTTTTATTCTTTTCTTTTGATATGAGGTCCTGCTAAGTTGCCCAGGATGGACTTGAATGTGTGACCCTCCTGTCTCAGCCTCTTGAGCCACCGATTACAGTGGTGCTCCATCACATCCAGCTCATACCTCATCTAACACCAGCTCATTTCAGTGAATAATTCCAGCGGGCTGGTTCCAGCCACCCATTGTCCTACCATTTGTGGCTGCTTCTGCTGTAAGCAACAGGTGACCTGGTATAGCCAACGCTGTGTGTCTAGCAAAGCCTAAAACATTTACTACCACGCCTTTTACGGGCAGAAGTTGTGCCGGGTGTGGTGGCACAGGCCTGTGAGCCCAGCACTTGAGAGGCTGAGGCAGGATACTCACAGAGTTCAAAGCCAGCCTGCATGATTGCAGTGAGTTTAAGGCCAGTGCAAACTATATAGTAAAACCTTGTCTCAAAAAGCCAAGAAGTTGCCAACTTCAGTATAGTCTGTTTTACTGTAACATCCCTGCAAGGCTCACTATTTATTTTTTGAGACAGAGTCTATGTATTTCAGGTTGGCTTTCAACTCACCATGGAGCCCAAACTGGCCTTGAATTCATAGTGATTTTCCTGCCTCAGCCTCCCTAGTACTGGGATTAAAGGCCTGAGCCACCACACCCTGGCTCTAAAATACCTGGACACAGGCAAATTCAATTCACAAGCAGAAGCCAAGTTCAAAAACAGGACCGTGGGTGCACTTTGCAGTCGAGGACAAATGTCACCTTCAGTCTTGCTTTGCTTTGAGTTTAGCAAAGCAGCTTCATCTAAATTCCACCCAGAAGGGATATACTTCAGTGGCACAGCACCTGCTTGGCAAGTGTGAGGTTGTGAGTTTGATTTCCAAAACCAATAAATAAGTAAATAAATTCCACTGCAACTTTACGTTTTCACAACCCTCTGTCTCTTCCTTTTTGGTCAACTGTCCCGTGGTCTTGGGCACAACCTGCTCAGGTCAGTGGATCAACAGACCTGATTTTCATTGATTACGTTTGTTCCTGGTGGTCTCAGGCTGACTGGGTGTCCATACTACGATGCTCAGTTCCAGGGACTGCTGATCTTTTTTTTTTTTTATTTGTACATGTTTGTGGTACATAGCGATTACAGTCACTGTGGAGAACTGGCACTTGGACATAACAATCTTAACCTTTTATATCGCCTTCCCCTCCTGCAAAGTTTGAAAGTATACATCACACACTTTTCTCCGTTAGATATCACCAACCCTATCCACCAGGCCCAGCAGGAACTGCCTAGGATCCACACAGCAGGGCAGATGATTCGGCTGACATTCAATGGGACACTTTGAGCATCTAGCAGAGGATCCCAAAGCTCCCAAGAGGGAGGGCACAGCGCCCGACCACCTCTGCCACGCACACTCTCCCTGCAAGGCAGCATTGCCCCGTTACTGCACCCCCTAACTATGCGCCATCGCGCGACAACTAAGGTGGCACAAACACTTTTAAGAGAGTCAGAGTTCTGGGAGGCTGCGGCTCGCTGCTGGGATGGGCTTAGACCCCTTTTTCTTTGGGCGCCAATAAATATCTCGTCTGAGAAATGGAGGCTCCAGCTCCAGGGAAAAAACCAGGGACCAGGCGCCGCCGGCCACGTCCCGACCCACGAGCAGCAGCAGCACTGCGGTGGCTCCTAGCCTGGCTCTGCGAAATGCCAGAAATCGTCTGAGACGACCGGACGTCCGACGAGGGCAGCCTGGCACAGAGGCCGAGACCGATCCGGCCGATCAGGATACCATCATAGTCTCTGATGGCACCCTTCATCCCACTGATTGGAAGAGCCAGTGAAGCGCACCGGAAGGGGCGTGGCTGCGCAGCTAAAGGCCCACGAAGCAAAACGGGAGCCTGTGAAACTACAGTGATTGCCTTTCTTTCTTTACTATAATTAGTCTCTATTTTTGTTTATTTAATTGGTACCGGAGATCGAACTCACGATCTCGCGCTTGCTAGGCAGGTGCTCACGCAGCTGAGCTAACTCTCTGGCACGTAATTCCCTTTCTCTCGCTGATTGGAGAAACAAAACGCACGAGAAGGGGCGGTTCTACAGCTAGCCTCGAAAAGAACAGTTAGCTCCTGGAAACGCCCTCTAACTGCCCTTCCTCCCGCTGATTGGAAAAGATGATGGAGCGTATTGGAAGGGGCGTGGCTATGCAACTAGGAGCCGAAGGAACAGAGAGCAAACTCCGTGCGCCATCGTAGTTCCTGGCGACACCCTTAAACTGCCCTTCTTTTCGCTGATTGATCGAGTGGGACGGGCCTTCCAGGAGGCAGAGCGCTCTGTGTGGTCGTCTGGTGGATGACAGCATTTCCGTGGAGAAAATGGCCTTGCCCCAGTAATGGAGCACGGGGGAAACCTGAAGTAGCCCGATGGTGCTTGAGCGGGAGTCTAGAACTGCGATGACACTGCGGAAGGCTTAGCAGTTTGTCCATCCTCGCGACAAGGGTGGAGGGGGCGATAAAAGCGAACGCCTGCAGGAGTTCAGACAGGGTGACGTCACCGTTAATCAGATAATCAAAACCTCTCTAATTGTGTGGACTCCCAAAGTGCATTTAGTGAGCCTCGTGGGGACCTTGTTTTCAGACGCAGCTTATTACTCCGCCCCAACCTGCAAATTCGATTCTCTGATGTATTGCCAGGAAACTCCCAATAGAAAAAAAAAAGCATACATTTGGGAGGAAAAGGACACAGATACTAAGAACAGGGCTTTGAATTTTCACAGGCTCACAGCCCCCGACCTCAGCCACTGCGATTAACAGCCAGGGTAAACAGAAGCGAAACTTTTCACATCCAAACGTCAGTTCTGCCTGTCTTGAATTTTATATAAATAAAATCATACAGGAGCTACACTTCATGTCAGCTCACTTCACTCAGTATTGTAAGATTCGCCCATGTTCCATGTAGCAGTTGGGGACCTGGCCACAGACTGCCACGACTGATTCATTCTCTAATGAGTTTTGGGGAAGTTTAGAATTTGGGGCTGTTATAAAGAAAGCACCAACACTGCTGTTTTGTTCATGTGTTTGCTTTGTAAATCATAAAGCAACATAGCAAGACAGACTAATTCATTCCTACATATTTATTAGGCCCCTTACCAAGCACTGTCAAAGGTTTTATCAGGAGATAAAGGATGGTCAAGGTCCTGACCTCATGAAATTTACTATAATTGGCACAAAACAGCAACTCAAGTGAGTGGAAAAATACTTTGAACAACTGCATTTGCTGAAGGTGGTAGTACATGCTTGTAAACCCAGAGGCAGAATCACCTGTTCAAGACCAACCTGGCAACTTAGCATTTAGTGAGACCCTATTTTGGAATCAAATACAAAGGACTGAACATGTAGCTCAGCACAAAGTCCTTGAGCACACATACACACACACACACACACACATCAAAAAAACCCCATAATTGCAAGTGTAATAACTCAAGGAAAAAACAACTAGTCAAGTGATGGAGATGCTTTTTTTTTTAATTTAATGTGACAAGTGGGTCAATGATGGTGAAATTTCTGGAGCTATCAATGATAACCAACAGCCCACTACCACACTCATTCCATAGGTTTGCAACCACTGAACCAGGTTGTTTTAGAAAAATAATTTGGAAAAAACCAGGGGTTGGCACTGCCATACAATGTGTATGAAAAAAGGCAAGGCAGACACCATGTACAAAGACCACACAGCAGAAGAAAGCTTAGCCCATCTGAGAGCAGTACAACTGAAACAGTAGCAGGGAAGAGATGCCCTAGGGGTGTTTGGATAGGAGGATAATGGTATGACAAAAAGTCAGAGTAAGAAGTTTAGGTTTTATTCTGACGTCTGTGAAGAGCAATATAAATGCTTCAATCTGATGTAATGTGGTATGACTGACTCTTGTAGAAGATCCTTCTCTAGCTGGCCATGGCAGTGCACACCTGTAATCTCAGCACTCTGGAGCCTGAGGCAGGAGGATCTCAAGTTAGTCTGGCTACATAATGAGTTCAAGGTCAGCCTGGACAACATAGTGAGAACCTCTCTCAAAATACATGCAATACATATATACATACATGCATAAAGACAAAAGATCCGTCTCACTGCTGAACAGAGAATAAAGACAGATAGTCACTTAGGCTGCTAGCATAGTCCCAGGGAGATGTGCAGCCACAAAATTCAGAGGAAAAGCTTGAAACATTTAGAATTGGCAGCTTAAAGATCACACCTTAATCAAATGATGAGAAGTTAGGGACCACCTGGAACATGTGTTCTGACGTGATGCACAGAAGCACAGCATTTCTATCAAATGTATGATCTGACTCTAATCATAAGAAAACTCCAAAATACCCATATAGATACAACCCACGAAAGCTGGCCTGTTCTCTTAAAACCAGTATGAAAGGCTTAGTGTTACAGATTTAAAAAAGAGACCTGAGAACTAAATTCAATTTTAGCTGGACGTGGAGGTGTAAACCAATAATCCCAGCACTCTGGAGACTGAGGCAGGAAGATTGCTAAGAATTTGAGGCTATCCTGGGCTACATAGTGAGTTTAAGGCTAGCCCGAATTACAGAGAAACCTGTCTCAAAGAAAAAGAAAGAAAGAAAGAAAGAAAGAAAGAAAGAAAGAGAAAGAAAGAAATGTCCAATTTGTAATTCTCCATTAGATGATAGACAAGGAAAAATGTTCCTTCCAAGTTTGTTCCAAAGGACCTAAGTGAAACAGATGTAATGGTGCACACCTGTAATCCCAGCATTCCAGAGGCTGAGGAAGGGAGGCTCACAGAGAGCTCAAAGCCAGCCTGGGCTACATGGTGAATTGGCCAGCCTGAGCAACATGGCAAGACTCCATCCCAGAAAAATAAATAAAAGTCCAAAGTGAGGCAACTGAAGCAAATAAAGGCTGTGTATTAGACAATATTATGTAATTTCCCAATTTTAGTAATTGTAGACGATGTAACAGAATACCTTGTTTAGAGACATTTAAGAGGTATAGATAAAAGGACATCATGTTTGCTATTTCCTCTCAAATGGTTAGAATACAATGACAAAGCAAACGCAAAATGTTAGTATGTGGGGCACATAGAAAGGCTTATGAGAATTATTTGTACTATTTGGCAACAAATGTGTGAAATACTTTAAAAAGTCAACGAAGTTATTGCGATCGCATAGACGGAGTGAGGAGCCAAAAAAAAAAAAAAAGTAATGACTAACATCCGGAGTGCTGGAAGACAAGAATATTTAAAAAAGCAGTCTAAGGAGATGGGCAGTTCCATGAGAAGGCAAAGCCCTCCTCGTCCTGACCCTAGATTCTCAGAGCCGCCTCTCCTGAGACTCCCTTGTCCTCATTCCAGGTGCCCATCAAGCTACATGTGCCCAGGGAAGAACCCCAGTCTGGCCGGAACAGCCATATTTCCTACGGAGCCGGCGGGAGCCACGCACGCCCGCTACGCACGCACGCTCGGCCAATCAGCGCATACGCTGGGACAGTGCCGCGAGGGCGGGGCCATTACTACACATGCGCACGGCCGCGCAGGCCTCTTTCCTTCCCTCTCGCCGCGCGCCGCCGACATGGTGAGTCTCGCCGCCCGTGGCTCCGATGCCCGCGCTCATGCAGCTTGGCCTTCCTCTAGGCGGTGAAACTAGGGCGCACAGTGGCGCCTGCAGGCTCCTAGCAGCGCGTGGGGAGACCCCGGGCCGTCTCGGAGTGCTGCAGCGGTGGCGTGGAGGCCGGCGCCCGGGATCCGCGTGCGCGCCGGCGGCTGAGTGCCGACCGACCTGCAGGGCGGCGGGGAATGACATGCTGTGCGGCCCTGATCCTGGAGCTTGGGCTTGGCCCCGTCGTTCCCCGGAATGAGCTATGTTGCCTACGAGCTGCGGAATCTTGCAGAGGATCACAGAATGCTGTTTGAATATAAGCCTCTGTTCTCTCCCGCGTAGGTGTTCAGGCGCTTCGTGGAGGTCGGCCGAGTGGCGTACGTCTCCTTTGGACCTCACGCCGGAAAGCTGGTCGCAATAGTCGATGTCATCGATCAGAACAGGGTACTTTTGGGATCTAGATCGCTGCTCCGTACCCGTTGTGGCGGTGGCTGGGACCTATTCCGCGTAAATAGATAATGGTTCCTGTGAGGCGGCTTAGGGTGTTGGCCTTACTACCATCGAAGAGGAAGAAAGTAGGGATCTTAAACACAAACTGTAGCCAGCTGTGACGGATGGACTAGTGCTTGGGTCTTTAACCAGGTGTGGGTTAGATGCTGGTGGGTTCAAATGAGTTAACGCTTAAAACGAGTTTAGAGAATTATCCAGGCACACAGAAAGTAATTTGTGTGCGCGGTTGTGTGCCAGTGCTGAAATAGTCCTGTGAGTTTGATGGTCCAGAAAGGTGACACAGACAATATGAAATAATGTTTTCCTTACTATGAGGTGTTGGACTGAACAATCCTTGGGCTCTGTCCTAGGCACTGGTGGATGGACCCTGCACTCGGGTGAGGCGGCAGGCCATGCCTTTCAAGTGCATGCAGCTCACCGACTTTATTCTCAAGTTCCCACACAGGTAAGCATCCAGTGGCGCCTTGCCACTGTACTAGTAAATGTTCTAGCTTACTTTAAGTCTTCTCGTTGTGTTTTTATGTTGAAAATGTAGTAAACAGAAGTCTGAGCAGTTGGAGTAAAGGAATTTACATTATAAAGCAAAGAGGCATTCTCAGTATGGGATACACACCTATAATCCCAGGATTTGGTTCGAGGCAGGATTGCCAGAGTTCAAGGCCAACCTGGACTGCTAGGGAGACTCTGTTTCAAAAAAAAGTACATAGATATCATTTGTGTTTGGAATGTACTGTGGTCACTTCTCCACCGGGGACATTCTGGGTTTAGCTTTATTCAAGCTTAGAATTCTATTTCTTTGTCGACCCTTATTTGACTGGAGGGGTCTTTTTGAGACAGGGTCAGACTGGCCTTGCACTCACTGTGTAGTCCAGAAAGATAATCTTGTTTCAGTCTCCCCAGCTGCTGGATTACAGGCATGGGCTACCATCCTTAGCTTTTTTGATACTTACATATGAAGTTTTTAAGAAATTTGGGCTAGGGCTGGGGATTTAGCTCAGCCGCATAAGCGCCTGCCTGGCAAATGTGAGGTCATGAGTTAAAGTTAATCCCTGCTACCAAAAAAAAAAAAAAAAAAGAAAAGAAATTTGGGCTCATTATGAGGCAGTCACATTCAGTTTAGAACAAAAATGCCAGTTATATTCTCTTTCAGTGCCTACTATTGTTAGATGAATTTAGAGTATCTTGTCAGTTATAAAATAATCTAATTATGCTTCTGCTTATGAACAGGGAGTTGAGGCCAAGAGCAGTTCTTTCTCTCATAGGAAATAAAATTCTATGATGTGTTATTGTACTGTTAATATTGACCCACAACAACAGTTGGTTATAGTGGGACATAAAACAAGGTGGTTATGAGTAAAGAGATCTACGTTGTATAATTTAGCTGTCTGTGTGTGCCCAGAAGATAGTTATATTCTCTGTTTTAGGTCACCTCTTCCCATCTAACACAACTCGCTCAACAAAAATACCCAGTGGGCGGAAACCTGCAGTGTGCTGAGCATCCCTGGCTGTTGGTGCACACTGTGGATGTTCCACCACTGCCAGTGGAAATTCCACTCGGCTGAACAGATGTGTCCCTGCCATGGCTGCACTTTGTTTGAAGGACACTTCGGGGTGCTCTTGCCTAATGGTTTTTGATCTTGAGTGGTAGAGGTACACACTGGTTGCTTGGCCATAAATTAAACCTAAGGATTGACTTTGTATTGCTGCTTATTAAAAGGAAATCATCTACTACCCATCCACTACCCTAACTGGTATTTGTGTAGTGAGATGGTTTTGTTGAACCCTTACGTGCCTAGTGCCAAATTCTTGTTCCTTGAATTTTTCTAGGTAACATGTGAGTTTCATGCAAAAATTCAAAATATTTCTTTGGCATAAATGGGTTGTCTGTAACATGGATGGAAGAAAGGTGGACTGAATTGCAGTTTTGTTTACATTTGTACAAATGGTGATACATGTTTGTGATTGCAACTCTGAGGAGACTGCGACAGGAAGATTACTGTGAGCTCAAGACCTGTTTAAATTCAATAGGGACCCCCCCAAAATTTTTTTTACCCTTGAAATCATAGTGGCTTTGTGAGTGCTGTTCAGTAGGTAAAAGACATATTGCTGGGTGATCTGTGTGCTCTGTAGACAACTAAAAGAGGGATATAGCAAGAAACGTGCTAGATTCTGTGTAATTTCTGTGCTGGATGCTTAATCTGTGGTCTTGGACTTTTCTAGTGCCCGCCAGAAGTATGTCCGACAGGCCTGGGAGAAGGCGGACATCAACACAAAATGGGCAGCCACCAGATGGGCCAAGAAGATCGAAGCCCGAGAGAGAGTAATGTCTTAGGGTCCTGGAATTCTGACTAATTTAAGGGGTTGAGAGGGTGACTAGAGAAAGACAATTACGTCTTCTTCCTTTTAACAGAAAGCCAAGATGACAGATTTTGATCGTTACAAAGTCATGAAAGCAAAGAAAATGGTAAGTTTTTACTTGCTTGTTTTTTATTTTGCTTTGGGGGAGGGGGGGTTCCAGGGAAAGTAATGTTTTTAAGTCATAGTGTATGACCTTACTTCAGAATAGGACAGCACTAGCCAAATTCTGGGGAAATTGTCCTCATGTGCTGTATTTCACAGCAACCTTGAGGAATTACTACCTTTATTCAGACTTACTTGGAGGAATGATTAATGCCCTTTTTAAGATACTCGCAAAGATAAGTGCTGTGCTGATCTAGTGAGTGCTTCCCCTGACATTTTTCAGAGGAACAGGATAATCAAGAATGAAGTGAAGAAGCTGCAGAGGGCTGCTATCATAAAGGCTTCTCCCAAGAAGGCGTCTGTTGCGAAGGCTGCAGTTGCGGCTGCTGCTGCTGCGGCTGCTGCTGCTGCTGCTAAAGCTAAGGCTCCAGCCAAGAAGCCAGCGGCTGCTGCTGCTGGCAAGAAGGCATCAGGCCAGAAGGCAGCCGGGGAGGACAAAGCCAAGGCCAAGGTCTCTGCAGGGGAGAAGGCTGTGCCTCCCCCCAAGGCACAGAAAGGTCAGAAGGCTCCAGCCCAGAAGGCGCCAGCTCCCAAGGCATCCGGCAAGAAAGCATGAGGTCCTTAAAAGAGAATAAAGGTTCTTTTTGACACATTGGCAAATTTGTTAAGTCGATTTCGAGCTTGATTCGATGGGATTGTGGATGTCATCAGAGGAGCCTTAAATTTCCGCTGAGGAGGCAGTGTCCCCAGGAATTGTATCCACAGCAGAGCAACATTTTCCCCTTGTAGAGATTATATCGGGGTTGGGCCTTGTCCATCCCATAGGAAAACTTCCTACCTCTTTCAGGTTTTTGGTTTTTTGGCTCTTTGTATGCGTGGTATGTGCCTGACTGTCACAAGTTCTTTTTTGGGAGAATTGTTCAAGTCTCTTTCTTTGTGGGCTGGCAAAATGAGTCTCTGACAGCAACGCTGTGGAAGTTTGTCTGCCAGAGACTTAACTGCAGTCCAGTGTTGCCTTCAATTTGGAATCCCTCTGCCTCCACTTCCAGAGTGCTGCGATTAGATTCCGGTAATTTGAACAGTAGGAAAACCTCAGTGCTCTTAAGAATATAGGACATCTGCCATGTGTGGTGGTGCATTCCTATAATCCCAGCACTTGGGAAGCTGAGGCAGGAGGATCATTACAACTTCAAGATCAGCCTGGGCTACAAAGTGAGCCCCCTGCCAGCCTAAATTGCATAGTTGAGACCCTGTCTCAAAAAGACAAAAAATTTCAGGACATTTTAGAAATCTAGGAATGTGTGAAATGTGATTTTCTGATCAAAAGCTGTCTTCCTGGCACTAATCCCAGCATCTGGGAGGCTGAAGCAGAAGAGTGACATGGATTTAGCAAGACCCTGTTGCACAAGTGGGTTGGGAATGTGGCTCAGTGCAAAGTCATGGTCCAGTTCTAGGTGCCACTAGAAGAAAGCACCAGCTTCAGCATCATTGAGGTAGAGGGCACCCAGGCAGCCTCCTGGCTCTGCCCTCAGCCAGCTTGGGCCTGTCCTTCCTGCACCCCACTGTGTAGCTCTTAAGTTGGCATCCCTGATGATTGCCTGGGCGTGGCTTCACATCCTCCAGACTCAGGTGGGCACTGTGGCTGTGACTGGGATCAAGTAAGGAGCCCACGGTGCTTTGGTTGAGAGCAGAGGAAGAGAGGAATCAGGATATGATACAGAAAGCAGGACTGTAAAGAGCAACCCATGTGGCTCGAGGTTCTGGGGTTGAAGGATGGCCAGAGGATGAGAAAATGGAAGACAAACCTGGGGTCAAGTAGAGCCTGCCCTTCTGATGGGAGGAAAGGAACTACCCCTCACTGCAATTTTGGCAACTTGCTGTCATGTGACACCATTGTCCTAGCAACCTGCTGTTGGCATGGTTTTGGGGCGATGTGTTCTCTTGGCTGAAGCAGTAGCTTCTCGTGGCTTTCCGACCCTGAGCACTGTTCTTGGAGTGACCAGCCCTGCACATGTGGTAATGTGTAGAATGGTTCAGGAGAAGCAGCTAACTGAAGGAAGCTTGGACATCCTGATAGGGTGGCACATGCCTGTAATCGCAGCACTCAGATTGGAGGCTGAGGCAGGAGGATGACATGTTTGAGGTCAGTCTGGGCTACATGGGAGACTGCAAAGTGGGTCCAGAAAGGCAGATGGGTGAGCTGAAGAAGAGACGGGATATAGCTCAATAAATGGTAGAGTGCTTGCTTGGCACTTGTGAAACTCAGATCCTTTCTGTTCCCAGCACTGCAAAAGCGGAGGGGGGCGGGGTTTGGAAAAGTGCACATAGCTCTCGCCCCTGGAGGCCATCGCCTACATGGGGTGTCCATGGGACAGGTGGGCCACTGTGCTGGGCTGACCTGGAAAGCAGGTGCAGCTCCCAGAGCCCCTGTCTCTGCAGCTTTGCTGCCAGTGGTCCCGCTGGGTGAGATGATGTTCATCTGCTGGACTTAAACTGAGGGACCCCCAACTCCAGCAGGTAGCTGGATTTTTTTTTTTTTGTCTTATCGGTACCAGGGATCGAACTCACGACTGCCTGCTTGCAAGGCAGTTGCTTATGCCGCTGAGCTAAATCCCCAGCCCCTAGGTAGCTGGGTTTTTAAAATTAGCTGAGGCCAGCTGAGACAAGATTGCCACAGGTACAAGGCCAGCCTGGGCTACATAGTTCAAAGCCAGTTGGAAATATATAGCGAGACCCTGTGTCAAAAAGAAACCACCTGCCTCCTAAATTCAGATCACCTCAAATACATCTACTCGGTGGATGACTTTGGCAGAAATGAAAACACTCTTTGGTCACTTGTACTTGTGGCTGTATGCAGGGAAAGAGCTGTGCGTGCCCTCCCCTCTCCCCCTCCTCCCCTCCTCTCCTGTTCCCTTCCCCTGTGGGTACCCGTGTGGAAGCAGGCATAGGACTTGCATCTCTATCCCACGTGCCCTGTGACCTGTTTGGGGAAGCTGTCCTTCCCCGTGGGTTGGTCTTCGGCCCCATGTTATTAGCCAGAGTTCTCCAGAGAAAGTGATGGGACAATTGGGCTGTGTGCAGATGGGAGATGATGCATGACAGATGGGTGGAGGGGAAGAATGGACAAGTGCACTGGTGCCAACAGGAGAGTTGCCCAGTCTGTGAGCTCGGGTCCCTGCTGCCATGGCATTGTTCACCTGCAATGGGGATGCAGCTCTGATGTGACCTGTGCCAGAGGTGAAGCCTCAGGTGTCAGCACAGCACAGTCCACAAAGCTGAGCCCCTAAGCTGTGGATCATGCCCATCCTCAGCCACCCGATTCCTACTCCAGCAGGGTGATAGTGACGGGTGCCGGGCTCTGTGCTTCTAATGCTTGCTCTTTTTTTTTTTTTTTTTTTTTTTTTTTTTTGGTCTTTTTCATTTTTATCGGTACCAGGGATTGAACTCACGACTGCCTGCTTGCAAGGCAGGCGCTTAGGCCCCTGAGCTAAATCCCCAGCCCCCTAATGCTTGCTCTTGATATCTAGTGACAGGCTCCAAGGGTCTTGCCACTTGCTTTCATGTTCAGTGCTTCTATGCATTTTTTTCTCAACCCAGGGAGCTCTCCACCACAGCAACACATCCTAACCTCCCCTCCCTGTTTTTTTTTTTTTTTTTTTAATTTTGAGAATTGCTAAGTAGCCGGGGTCACTTTGAACTTGTATCTTTCTGCCTCAGCCTCCCAAAGTAGTTAGGGTTCATCCCCAGAGCCACAAAAACAAAGAAAATACAAGAGAACTATGGGTTTTTGTGAAACTTAATTTGTTTTCTTTTTTCAAGACACGGTTTCACCATGTAGTTCACACCAACCTTGAACTCACTGTGTAGCCCAGGCTGACCTTGAACTTGCAGTGATCCTCCTGCCTCAGCATCCCAAATCCTGGGATTACAGGCATGTGCCACCATGCCTGGATTTTTATAGTACCGAAAATCTTAAATGTCCATATCACTCAACTCTTAATTTTTTTTCTTTTGTTAATTTCTGTTCTGATAGAATTTTAAAATTTTTATTTGGATTTTGTATGCAGGTGGTGGTTATAGCTGAGCTATAATCTCTATAACGTATGGCAACGGAGGGGATCAGCAGAGACTGCAGGCACATGTGAAGGCAGCGTGGTGTGGAGTTTACTGTGCCTGGATGCAGGCAGGCAGGCAGAGCGCCAAGACTGTAGTGAACAGAGAAAACTGTCCCTTTTATAGGCATGGAGAGAAGGCAGGGGATACTAGGTAGGAAGATTAATAAACATCTGTGGTCAGAATTCTGGCTGCCTTGCACTGCAGTGGGCAGAGTCCTGGAAGTGTCCGGTGTAAAGTTTTGGGTCTCCAAATGTCAGGGATCTGCAGGATTCCTTGTCCTGTCTTATCTCCTTCATGACATCCTGTGCTTGCCCGTGACAACTTGGGTGCTGAGCTGGATTCCCTGCAGAGAGTAGCGAGCGCTTCTGCTGGTACACAGGTCGAGGGCTAGGTCAGTCTGGTCGGATTTGAACCTTATAATCCTTTGTTATTTTGAGACACAGGGTCTTGGTTAATTTTCCGAGCATGCGTGCTAACCTGAAGTTACTTATTTGGGACTTGGCGCTTTGGTGAAAGAACAGCTTTTTTCCCCTTTTCCCCCGCTCAGACGGGAACTTTTGATCTTGCCCAGGCCACTGAATATGAAAAATAAGACCCTGCAGTTCTGGCCCTAACTTTTCTCCTCCACCTGCCGCCAGACCTGCAGGGGACTAGGAGCGCCCCCAGGCTCTCATTTGTGGAGGTGTGCTTCACGGTGACCTTTTACATTATTTAAGCACCAGTCAGCAGGCGAAGTTGCTGTCGGGTTTAGAGACTCCTTGAGAAGCTGAGCAGGGGACGGCAGGGCCCGCGGCAGCTGAGAACAGCTCGACCAAGTGCTCTGGATCACAGCGAGCCCCCGGACAGACCGCAAGGCGGGTGCCCTAGGCTTGGGGACCGGGTTGCGCCTGCCTAGCTGCAGCCCTCTACACCCCGCGCGGACATCACCGAGATGCGGGCCTGCCGCGGCCTAGAGCGGCGCCGCCGTATTTCCGGGTCGGCGCTCGGTCGGGTTCCTACGGTTCCGGCGCCACGGGTTCCGGGCTCCGCAGGTTCCGGGTCCTGTGGGTCCCGGGCGGGTTTCGGTGTCCACGCCTCTCTGAACCCAGGAGACCCGGTGACCCATCGACCTTCTGCGTGTGTACTGGGTCCCTTGTGTCCTGGGTGGGGTCTCCGGGCCGCTTTCCCCAGACAACCGAGGACCTCGTGCCCTGATTGCACTCAGCCCTGTCCCCGTCCTGGTGTCCTGTGGGGTCGGAGTCCCTGTCCTCGTGTCCCGTGGGGTTACGGCCCCTCCACTCTCCTATGGGGTCGCAGTTTTCATGTCTGTTGGGGTCAGAGTTCCTGTCCCCGTGTCCCGTGGGGTCGGGATCCTCGGGATCTCCCATCCAAGGCCCCCACTGCACAGGCGGCCAGTGCTGATGCCGTTCTGAGTCAGGCACAGGGTCCCCTCCATGGGTGCCGGCAAAGAGGGACAAAGTGGCCCCACTGCTCACAGCTGTCCTTCCCTTAGTACAAGGATGTCTTGAACCTGAAGACGGCGCAGAGGCAGACATCCGCTGTGCTGCAGATGGCCTGGCCACGGGTGAGCTGCATCCTCTGCCTGTTCTGTCCTCAGCCCTGGGTCAGGAAGGACAAGCTGGCCTTGGCTCCTTGCCTGAGCCCTGCAGGTGTACAGAGCTGGAGGACACCAGCACTCTGTGTGAAGAGCGGCGGGCTTGGGAGTGTGGAGGGCCTAAGACCTGGCCAAGCATGCTTTCTGAGCTGGAGTGCAGGTTCTGCCTCAGGGGTGTAGGGAGTTCCTCCAGGCCCCCTGAAGTCTGGGAGAAAGCTGCTGCTGTCTGCGTGGGACCAGCACGGGTCAGCAACGCAGGACCTGGTGTCCAAGTCTCAGTGAGACAGGCTTCCATCTGGACCCAGTGTGCATCCTGAGGAACTTGGAATGGGATATAGGATGGTTGGGTTTCTGTATCAGAAGGGTCAGTTGATTTTGGCAGGGGGATCAGACTGGGAGGATGTTGTAGTTCAGGTCTTTTATTTATTTATTTATTTATTATCTTTTTGAGACAAAATTTAGTGCATGCAGTTCAGGCTGGCTGGCCTTGAGCTCACTTTGTAGACCTCCTACCTCAGCCTCCCAAGTGCTAGGATTACAGGCATGCACCGCCACACCGGGCTTCTTTTATTTATTTTTAAGATTGTCTTTGCTTTCAAGAAAAGTGTTGGACTCAAAGCAGAATTAGTAAGAGAGCACCGAGTCCCTAAGTACCTTCTATCACCACACATGCACTGCCCTGTGCGTCCTGCCTGGCTGGTACCCTGGCTGGGGGAGATGAGGCTGCCCTGACCATTGATCCCAGAGTCACCCACACTGTGCTGTGCCTTCTCCTACAGGAGGATAACTTCCAGTTCAAGGCCAGTCTAAACTACATGCAAAACCCTGTCTCAAAAAAAAAAAAAAAAAAATACAGAAGTGGCAAGAACAATGCAGTGGGAGATTTTGAGGGGGATTCACATCACTGTTCTTTACTATAATAAATTTTTAAAATTTAAACATGCTTTAGTCACTCCATATATGATCTACTGTGTGGGTTTTTGTGCAGATGTGTTTCAGCTCTGTTAGTAAAATATCAAAGAGAGTGATTCTGGATCCTGCAGCAACCCCAGGTCGTTCTGTGAGAAGCTGCTTCACTGCCTTCCTAAGTGTCTACATTTTTTGCATTGCCACCTGGTGGCTGACATTGCCCTTGTGGTGGAGGAGGGAGCCCTGGCTGCGAGGCCTTGGGTTGGGGTGACTGTGTGGGGCCCCAGAACTGTCTTGCCACACCTGGGTGGCCGGGCATGAGGTACTCATGTCGCCCATCCTCCCAGGGCTCAGGCCCGGTCCCTACTCGCACTCAGCAGCTGAGTGGGGCCCCATGTTTCAGGAGCCGGTGACCTTTGAGGATGTGGCTGTGACCTTCAGCGCAGAGCAGTGGGCCAGCCTGGAGCCTATGCAGAGGGCTCTGTACCGGAAGGTGATGCTGGACAACTACGCCAATGTGGCTGCCTTGGGTGAGGCGGCTTGGCTGTGGGGGGTAGAGGTGCGGTTACTGTGGGCTCCAGCAATGTGCCCACCTCAGGCTTTGGGGATTCTGGGCAGGGAACCCCTGGCCCCTGGGCTTGGAAGCCCCAGGTAAACCCTCTGTCCCTCAGGTTTGAGACAGGGTCTGGCTGAGGAGCTAAGTTGCTGCCCTGGGCTTTGGGGGGTTCTAGGAAAGGAAGCATCTGGCTTGCAGAGCCTGTGCCCGTAGTGCAGCTCCCTTATCTCCTAGGGCCCCATTTCTGTCCCCTCAGCAGAGAGGCCCAGAGGCAGCATGCCATGATCCTCACTGGCCACCCTCATTCCTCCTGCAGCTGCCTTTCCAGTCCGAAAACCCACTCTCATCGCCTGGCTGGAGCGTGGTGCATGGGAGCAGGAGGCCCTCGAGGGTGAGTGGGCTTCTCCAGGTGGGATTCTGGGCACGCTTTAGTGAGGGTCTGTGCCCACCTCTCCAAGGTCCCAGGCAGAAGGCCAAGACCACAGGATTCCAGAACCCAAAGCCACCTTGTTCCTTACTTACCACTGGAAATTCTTACTGTTTTTGTGACATTTTGGCATTTCAGTCAAATTTAAGGAAAATGCGATTCTGTGGGCCAAACTAATGTGTGTCACAGCTATAAATATTTTTCTTTCTTTTTTTTTTTTTTGGTACCGGGGATCGAACTCACAACCTCGTGCTTGCCAGGCAGTTACTTATGCCACTGACCTAAATCCCCAGCCCAAATATTTTTCTTCTTATATACTGGGGGACTGAACCAAGGGCCTTGCCACTGTGCAACATCCTCAGCCCTTTTCTATCTTTATTTTTTATTTTGAGACAGGGTCTGGCTGAGGAGCTAAGTTGCCCTTTTAATCCTCCTGCCTCAGCCTCCCAGAGTGCTGCCATCACATGTGCACCATCACACTTGGTAGAACTATGGATTTAATTTTTAGGCTTTACCAGTGAAAAGAATGATTTTATAAATTTAATTTTTTAGGTACTTTTGAGATGGGGTTTTACTGTAATTCAGGCTGGTCTGGAACTTGCAGCAATCCTGCCTCAAGCCTCCCAAATGCTGGGATCATGGGTGTGCACCACCACGCCTGTCTTTGTGGTTTTTACGTCTAAATCCTCTAAAATTCAACTTCCTGTAACCTTAGCTCTATACTGTGTTAGAGATGGGACCGTGGAGAGAAGTTGGGCTGGGAATCTTACCCAGCACAGTCCAGGATGCACAGGAGTGCTCACCCACCTGGAGCACCAAGACACCCTGCAGGGGGCGGGGGGGCGGGGATCGTGGTCCTGGGTGGCCTTGGCGAGCTAGGCATCTTTCTCTGGCAGAGCTCCAGCCTTGACTGCTCCCTTGAGTGGGATTTGGGGCACAGTGGTCCCTTAATTCTGCAGAGGCCCACAGACTTTTTTGTTGTTGTTATTAGCAGGGATGGAACCCAAGACCTCAGGCTTGCCAGGCAGGCACTGTGCCACTGAACTACACCCTCAGCCCCCCACAGACTTCTGTTCCCAGCTGCCTTTTGAGAGTAGTTTCGTCCACCCTAAAAAAATTTTTTTAAAGACAGGGTCTCGCTGTGCCATTCAGGCTGGCCTTGAGCTCCCTTTGTAGCCCAGGCTGATCTCGAATTTGCAATGATCCTCCTGCCTCAGCCTGGAGACTGCTGGGATTACAGGTGTGAGCCGCCACACACGGCTTTCACTCTAGAATTTTATGTAGAATATTTAAGAGTAATATCCAGGGTGCACTCCTGGGGGAGGTGGGGCCAAATCCGATGTTGGTTGGGCCTCTGTCTCCTACCTCGTGACCTCTCATGCTGGGTCTGTCCGCCCCCATTTCCTGCCAAACCCGCTCATCTCACCTTATGTACCCCGTGTTCCGGCTGCCCATACACTCCTGCTGTCCCTGCGGCCCTTCCTGGCCGACTCATTGGCTGTCCTCAGCGTCTCTGTCCCTCCCCTCCTCCTGCACAGTCGGCGTGGCCATCTGAGGGCCTCCCTAGCAGCCCCCAACAGTAACTAGACGCCTGTGCTCTCTCGGCCAGGGGCTGGGTGCTGGGTCCTGAAGGAGGCACCGGATCTGGAGCCGGAGGCCACGGCCGAGTCACCAGGAGCGTGCCCTGGAAGCAGCACCCCGAGCGTGGGTTCTGCGAACCCGAACCTGATTGTGCGCGGCGGGATGAAGTTCTACAGGTGCGCCCAATGCGAGAAGCTCTTCCGCTACAACTCGAAGCTGCTGCGGCATCAGATGAGCCACAGCGGCGAAAAACCCTTCGCGTGCAAGGAGTGTGGCAAGGCCTTCAAGTCGCGCTACGACTGCAGCGTGCACGAGAAGAACCACGCGGGCCAGGGGCCCTATGGGTGCGCGGTGTGCGGCCGCGCGCTGAGCTCCAGCACGGCCCTGATCCAGCACCGCAGGGTCCACACGGGCGAGAAGCCCTACACCTGCCCGCAGTGTGGCCGCGCCTTCCGCTGGAGCGCGGCCTTCCTGCAGCACCGCCGGCTGCACACGGGCGAGCAGCTCTGCCACTGCCGGGCCTGTCGCAAGGCCTCGGGCTGCCGCTCACTGCGCGCGGTGCCCCCGCCCGCCGCCCCCGGTCCGCAGCGCTTCCCCTGCCTGCAGTGCGGCGAGGCCTTCGCGCAGAAGGCTGCGGCCGCCCAGCACCAGCGTGTACACGCCGGGGAGCGGCCCTACGCCTGTGCTGCGTGCGGCAAGGCCTTCCGCTGGCATAGCAGCTTCCTGCAGCACCGCAGGCTGCACCACGTGGGCAGACCCGGCGGGGCACGCAGGCCAGGTCCCCAGGGCAGGCAGGTCGTGGCCCAGTCCTCATCGGCCTTTGCACATACCCTGCTCATTCCTGCCTCCGGGCCTGTTCTGCTGCTGCTGCTGGCAGCCCCTGCCACCTCGGGGACCCCGGGGGAACCTAGGGCACCAGTCCAGATAGTGCGGGGCCTTGGGCCCTCCCCTAGGCCAGCCCAGCCCCTCCTGGAGCTTCCCTTGCCTGGCGGAGTTTGAGCTGCTTTCTGCCTCTGTGTCCGTGTTTTTAACTATTTCTGTCTATGCTGCGTTGTATTTATATAAATAGGTAATGTCCGGGTTTGTAAAAGCTCTCTTTTTTTCTGAGTGGAAGTGGGAACCTGGGACACCAGTGGCCGTGTCTGTGACTGCTGTGAGAGCCAGAGGACTGCTATGAGAGCCAGTCTGGAGGTGGCAGCGTGTTTGGGAATTTGGGACAGCAGATCCACGTGCTGGTGGCTGGGGTGAAAGGTGCTGAGGGAGGAGGAAGGGTCCACATGGTGGGGAATGGAGAACTGGGGTGGCTTCCCATTGTGGAGCTGGTGGTTCACGCAGGCTGTTGCGTGCATCAGTGTCTAGGTGGAATATATATATATATGAATATATATATATATATATTTCCCCCTACTACTGCAGATTGAGCGCCCAGGGCTTTGCACTGAGCCACATGCCCAACCCCCTTTTTTATTTTGAGACAAGGACTGGTTGAGTTGCCTGGCTGGGCCTGAACTGGATGCTTCAGCCTCCCAGGGTGCTGGGTGATGGGTGGGGGTATTAACGAGTTCGAAGCCAGATCGTGTTGCTTCCCGTGTCTTACTGCAGAGTGGCTTCAGCCACTAGTAGTGACTGCGTGACCGTTTTGCGCAGGCCAGGACCGTTGGGTTCAAGCCGGTGTGGGCAGGGGCAAGGAGGAAGAGACCGGGGGGAGACAACAAAGAGGAACAGCAGGAAGCATGTGTGGGGACAGCCAGGACAGAGGTGGCCTCTGGAGGGAGCAGGAACCTGCTCTCATGTCCTGGGCGGTGGCATGTACAGCGCCACCCTTGGTCTGCTGTGTGACAGCCGTGCCTGTCCTCCTCCTGCAAGTGGGCACTGACTTCTTGTTCTCATCTGCCGTAGCTTGCATTCCTAGAAATGTGGTTTTAGACTCTGCTTTGGAAAGCAACAATGCACAGAAACCCCAGACTGGGAAAATATTTAAAAACATCAGCTGTAAATATCAGATATAGCCAGGCGTGGTGACACAGACCTCTCATCCCAGCACTCGGGAGACTGAGGCAGGAGGATTGAAAGTCTGAGCCCATCCTGGGTAACTCAGCAACTTAGCAAGATGCTGTCTGGAAATAAGGCTGAGGATGCAGCTCGGTGTGCAGGCCGTGTGTGTGTGTGTGTGTGTGTGTGTGTGTGTGTGTCCCAGATGTTACACTGGATGTGATGATCATCAAAAACTGAACAAGAAAATATTTTCCAAATCCCAGAAATAACTTAACTTGCAAAAATGAAACCAAAATAAAATAAAAGGATACACTGTAATATATGATTCATAGAGATTTTTAAAAATCAAAATGTACTGTTTAGGAACGTGACATTTTATCTGAAATCATAAAATCAGAAAAAATGGAGAGGTCAGGCATCAGTTGGACAGGTAAGAAAATACAAAAGAGCCTTCCTACCTAGTTTCTGTCAGTATTTTTCTCTTTCTCAAGTATATTTCAGAATACCTCATATTAGTGGTTCTCAGCACTCTGTGGTCTCTTGGTACAGAAGCCAGAGTCTGAAGATCCCACCCTCCAGGGTCCGTGGAGCCCTGGCCCCGTTCTGCCCTCCGCCAGGCTGCAGGGGGGGACAGCCCTCCCAGCCAGGCAGGGACATCCCAGCCGCAGCCCCACTGCCTGCGTTTCCCCTCCCTGGAGCTGGAGCCGCGCGGGTCTCCCAGCTGCTGGGCAGAGCTAGGCGGACCTAGCAGTTTAGCAATCATTCGCTCTTAGAGCGAGGAGCAGCTTGGTCCATGGAGCAGAAGCCGGTTACTGCAAGAGTGGAGATGTGAACGCGAGTGTCGTGCACGCGGGCAGCTTGGGAAGACAGAGCTTTCCCTCTCCCTCGCGTCTGCTGGGCCGGGACCTAGATTACGTATTTCCCGCGAGAGCTGTGCCTGATTGTTTCATGAAGCCTGGAAGAGATGTTCACACACTTCCCACAGCTTGTCCGTTTTAATCTCCGATTAGGTAAAGTGGCCTTTCAATTTAAATTAATAAAACAGTTTTCTGATTATACAAAGGTAACATCTTCAGAGCACAGAACCGTCTTGGAGAATGGCTGGGTGGCCCTGTGAAGGGTCCGCTTTTAGCGCCTGGGTGAATGCGCGTGTGCACAGCTGACCCCCAGTGCACCCACGGACCGTGACCCCCGCTTCCCTTCCGAGGCAGGGGTGCCTCGCTTTAGGCACAAGTAACGTGCATGGCCCACTGTGCATGGCTAGGAGAGGCCCTTGCTGCAGCACCAGGGTGATACTCGCAGTGTTGTCAGGCTGTTACCTGTAAAGACTCAGATTAGTTGGGATTGGGCGCTCTGAGGGTATAATGAATGACCCCTGCATACACGATTGACAATTGTGATTTTAAAGCTGGTTTTTGTAGATTAATTAGATGGAGATCGCTTCTGTTGCTTTGCTCCCTGTCCCCCCCCCCAAATTATTTTTCTCCTCAGTTAATAAAATATAGCTTTAATAACAATACATACTACTGCCTGGCATCACTTCATACATGGAAGTGTACACAGATGCTCTTGCTCCAGGGGCACTGGATGGTCCTGCTCATGGGTTCCTGTTAGTTTTTGTCCATCAATCATTTAGCAACTTCTTAAAATTAGCAGCTGGGTATGGGGTGCACATCTGTAATCCCAGCACTCAAGAGACTGAAGCAGGAGGCTTCTTGCTTGAGGCAAAGCGCTAGAAAAGCTCAGCCAAGTCAGGGGATGTTCCCAAAAAGGGAGGCCTGGTGTCCAGGAAGTGGAGGAACCGCAACATTCACTGTGGTGAGGACTGCTGTGTACCTGTTCCGGGTGGCAGGTCACAATGGAGCTGGAACCCAGAGAGGAATCCTGGAGACAGCCCAGCACAGGACGGCTGTGTCAGCACCTAAGGGACAGAGCTAGCCTAGCTCCCGGGGCTGGGTGGAAACCCGGTCACCCGGGGGCTGGGTCAGGTCAGCGCCAGGCTTCTCTGCAGCTGGGGGAAAGCAGCTTTCAGCCTGAAATCCCACCCGACTCCCACTGTTCTTCAGCAGCAGATCCGTGCAGGGTCCAAGGCCAGGGAACAGCTTTCCCATTCTGGATCCTCCTCGAGGGAAGCCAGGAAGCTTCCCATCTGGTTAATTTCCAAAGATACACTTTCAGCAGCAAATACCTGCTTTTAGGGATTTTCCTCACATTGGTAGACTCCAATTGAACTTTCTGTCTTTAGAAACACAAATACTTATTGACTGCTCCCAAGGAGAAAGAAAGCTCCAGATTCTTTTTGTATTTTTGATATCTGCCTACTCTCCTGGGAGAGAAGATAGCTTTTGCTCTTTGATGATTCATTAACAATGGCAAAAGCAAGAAAACAAGTCTTAAGCCAGTCTTTAAATTACCTTGCTGCCCACAGTATGTGTATTGTATTAGTTCCTTTATGTCACTGGGATAAAATACCTGACACCTTCACCTGAAAAGAGAAGAGGGTTATTTCAACTCACAGTTCCAGTGGGTTTAGTCCATGGTTGGCTGATACAGGTAGAAATTCGTGGTGGAGGGCATGGAGAAGGACAGCTCTGGGTTCAAGGCATCCAGGAAGCAGAGAGAGGAGAAAGAACCAGGGAGAAGAACACACCCTTCCAGGTCACCTCCTGGTGTCACCTCTTCCAATCAGGCCATCTCCCAGGAGCACAGTCAGGTGTGAACTCATTCATGCATGAGTCTCCTCATGAGCACAGTACCCCATTATCCAGTCGCTTTACAACCAAACACTCAAGGCATTGGGAGACCTCCTAGATTCAAACCCTATCAACATGTACAATCCTTGCATGAGCCTTTTATGGTGTTTCCTGTCCTGTCCTTGACTGATTTACTTTGTCTGTTACAGCATATTTCCTCCCCTCTTCAAGCGTGATGCTAATTCTATTTGATTTTCCCCCAACCAAAACTCTGAGCGGATACTGAAAAACAGGCCGGCAGAGGCCTCCAGGAAATATCAGCAGACTCCCCAAAAGCTTTGCCATTGTGGCCTCAGAGCACAAAGCTTTTCTTGCCATCCACTGACACCCTACCCCAGTGGGCACCTTCTCTCTGCCCCGAATCCCAGGAGGTGGTTCCTGCCCCTTCTCCAGCTCCTCCTTAGCCCTGTAAACCAGCAACCTTGCAGTCACTGGGGTGAAGCCAGGCTAACACTGGTCACCGCATCACCTGAGTCATGACCCTGGAAAGCCCGGGTCACAGGGTGCAGTCCCTGTCCACACTGACTCAGAGCTTAGCTCCCCATACAAGCACAGCCTCGTCCCTGAGCATTCCCAAAAAACTCAAGTAGCAAAGTGAAGCTTGCAGGTGCCTGAGGCTCTAAAGCCAACTTAGGGAGGCGAGAGCCAGGCAGAAATCTGTGCCATGGAAGCCACGGGGTACAGCAAGCTGGGGTCCATCTGGGGGGCAGTGCACACGTGCTGCACTGTGCACGTCCAGGAAAGCCCCCAAGGGCCCTGGCTGCTGACCTTGGACGACCTTCAGGCCTGTGCAGGGGAGGTGAAGGCTAAGGTGGCCCTCAGGGAAGGAGGAAAGACCTTTTCTTGGGCTAACTGCTCTTTAGGTTCCTGTCAGCCTTCACAGGTTTGTGGATCCTGCCCGTCCTTCCTTACGGCTGTGAGCAGTGGTACGTGAATGAAAGCCCTGCCCACGCTGGCCTGGCATTGCCCTGCACAGGATCTGCATGGCGACTGCTGCCAGGCCCTCGCTCCTCCCCTTCCCATCTGCAGCCTCGACTGGGAGCTTTAGCCTGGAGGTCTGACTAGGTCCTGAGTGAGTGTTTCTGGCTGGAACTCTCACATCAGTGTTGGGTCTTTCTGTAGCACCCTGGTGGAGGACCCTGAGGCCAGGCATCGTGCCTCCAAGGAGGCGAAGTTTACCGCTTGGCCATGGTGCTGGCAGCTGCAGCGCTCCACCTCTGAGGTTCATTTTCTCTTTGAATGTGTTATGTGACTGATGGGTGACACATTAACGTTATCTTAATTTCTTATTCCTCCACTGCCCTTTATCTGATAGTTTTAGAGCCATTAAGGAGCCCTGCCT